ATTCTTACCGCAGGCCTCTGTCCCTGAGATCCACAGTAATGGTTTTGACTCAGCACAAAACAATTCAGCAGGTTTCCCCATAAACAACGAACTCAACTCCAGGCTAAAGAAACCACAAATCAGGTTCAACAAAACAAATCAGGTCTTCTGAACATGTGGTTTAGCTTTATGTTGTTAGAGACGGTCGGGTTAGCGGATTCCAGCAGACTCTGCGCTATACTGTTCTCCAGATGGCACCACACGCTGTCTCTCACAGATTGCATTCAGCTCTGAGATCCTTCATAAGTTCTGATGCCTCCCCCTCCCCCCCACATCCTCTCCCTCCTGAACTATGCTAAATGATGATCATGGAGATTATGTATTGGTTAATTCCTGCCAGGTCTTTAGAAGAATGCCCATGCTGTGTGCTTAATACTCAGCGCAGGGATTATGCAGACCCCTACATGTGGTGTTGTGGCTGCATACCTCCAGTCAGACTAAACCCAATCTGTTACAGATTTGCACTAAAGAAGAGAGGTGCAGCAAGCACAAGGGGGTTGGGTCGGGCTGTGCGGTGCTGTATTCAAGCTTTACAGTAAATTCCACTTCTTCTATATCATGAGGGATCAGCGTTAAACCTCCCTTTGGAAGCAGTATTTTTATCTGTGTGAATAAGGATGTATAAAAAGAATCTTGGCTTGTGTCAAGGCTGTGCACTTTAATATTTTTTTTCCTCAATACTCCTTTTTTTATTTTCCCTTTGTGGTTGAAGAAAACCCCAATTCCCCCACAGCTTCCCCCTGAATGTGGGCCCAATTAAACACACATGTGGATTTTCATATTGAAGCTCATAAAAGGTAAAACTCCGGCTATTTACAGTACATTTACATAAGGAATGCTGAGCACCTCCACATGCAAGGTGTTAATATCTCTAGTAGGAGCAGATGGTCGTCACTATTTATCATCCTTACCTGAGGTGTTTCATTGATATGTGTCAAATTTATAAATCTGAGTGCATGAGTGTGACGTTTAGGGGGGATTAAACTGTCTGTGTTTAACAAATTTAACAAAATGTGATGTAGCGATAGAAACTATGAAACATGGAAGATGAAGATGTGGTTCAGAGAGCAGCGACCTCAGTGTCTGTCCAGGGGTGTTTGTTGGACATACAGGGTTGAGACTAGACCCTCCAACCTCACCCGACTAAAAGAAGAAGTCAAAGAAAAAGTATATCAATAATGGAAACAGAGAGACTGTTTGACCTGAAATAAGGATGATTCTGCTCTCAGTAGATCAGCAGGGAAAGCACAGCAGGATTTCACTGGTGAGAGAGTCTGAGATAAATAATCAAATTAAGGAATCAGGAATCCAGGTTAAACAAGTTTAAGAGTTATGTGAGTGAAACACTTCAGATTTTTTTATCGATTGATTGGATTAATTTGAAGACAGAAAGCCTTTAGACCTTTTGTTGAATAAAACTATTGAGGACAAAAATGACTGAAACTAAAAGGGCATTTTAGTTCAGAGACTGAGACTAAATCTTAAATAGATGCCAAAACAAACAGTAGTCCACAGCAGAGCAGAAACTTGTGCTGATTTGAAGCAGACACGCCTGACTCTGGAAAGTTCACTGACTTTTGTTTTAGTGTGCCTTTACTTTTTCCTTTGGCTGTTCCTCCTTTCTTCTGATAAACCAGTACAGAAAGCTGCAGGAACTCGCATTTGTCCACAGAACCATCTGTCAGTCGTCTGTTAGAAATGTAATAATTGGTTAAAATTGAACGTTTCAGAAAGAAAAGAACACTTTGTCATAAATCAGCATAAAAACTAATTTTAATGACAGAAAACAGGTTTTAGAAAAGTGTATTTGAGTTGTACTTTTCTGGTCTCACCCATGTTTGTTCACTTATTTCAGTCTTGCAAAACCTCTTGTCTTGTAAGCGTGTAACCATATCACTGTATTCTTTCTAACTGGTCTGCTCATATCTTTTGCCTATCTAGAGGGGAGGCATCCTCATAAGCCTTTTGGGGGCTTCTGACCTCCCCTGCTTGATGATTTCACACTTATCGCTCTTTATTGTCTTGCTTTTACGATGTGCAAACAAAGTAGACTAAACTAAACTTCCGTCTGTTATGAGGAGGAGGAGGATTTTATGACCTATGCTGCAGCCGGTCAGTAGGGGGACCTTTAAATCTTGGCCTCACAGATGGTGAACTCTTATGGCCTCCATTTACAGTCTATATACCATAAACAGTCTATGGCCATGACCAGAATTTCAGTCAAGACTCCCTCCTCAGTCTGTCTTCTACAGCAATGATTGTTGAATCTTACTGTGAAAAGAGTTGTGCATGACATGTTTGAAAAGTATATATATGCTTCTTTTATAGAAGTCTAAGGCAGAGAGAGCGACTCTACAGCCAATTCATGCTGCCTTCTTCTTTACCGAGACATTATTTTAGCAGTTTGCAGGTTTCATCTTGTTCCTGTTACATATGTAAAGCCTGTTTCTATGCAAAGCTTGTTTTACATCTGTACTTTGATTTATTGGCTCCTCTGCGCAAAAGTGTAAAAGGCCTTTTGGCAGTAAATTCTGTTCTTCAAAACTTGGCATGAATTGTCTAGTTTCACGTTATGATTGATGTCCGGATCAGCCAACATATGTGAAGGTTTGTGTGCATTTACAGTCTTTATTTATGATCGTAGCCATCAATGACCCAAGTGAAACAATACATCGAGGATATGGTTAAAGAAAAAGATCACTGTGAGAAAATCAAGGAGCAGTGCTGGTAACTGGGTACTTTATAACAAAAAATGTAGGTGATTTAGACTTTTAAGATCCATAAAAGTTAAATATCTATAGCAGCAAATCTGTAGCTAGGGTAGGAGTCTTGGTTAATGATGCCAGTTTTTCTTTTTTTCCAATTTTTAATAGCACATTTCAAAATCTATGCCTGCCAATATCTCATAATGAAGGAGTACTTGTGTGGAAAATGGGTCCAAATATTCCTCACATAAAAACTCTGATCATGACAAAGCTGCACTGTGCAACTGAGAAAAGTCGGAGGCGCTCTGCTATGTGCTGCTGCCCCCTAGTGGTGGATTAGCAGTAAAAATCCACCCTGTCAGTGCAGAAGGTAATTATCAGCAGTTCAAAAAGAGTCTGAAGCACAACTCAAACAGCAACAAGAACAAAATGAAACAGACGGTGTTTATTGTAATTTAAACAATTTGCATTTATTCAGCGTTCATTTACTTAATCCATTTTTCTTTGCAAACATTCTGCCAGCAGGTGAAGTTTACATGAATCTAATCTGCTAATCGTTTCATTACAAGCGCTGCTCATTAACTTACAATCAAGCAAGGTTTGAAAAAAAAAAATACTGTTTGCAAGAGAAAACAACTTTTTACCGACAGCCAATGAGTCAATGCTGTTATCAGTCAAACCACACACGTCCCCATGCACAAAGGGAATTAAACACGCACACACAGACACACACTAACCCACGCACACTCCCATCAGACTCGTGTATTTGAAATACAAAGTAGCACAAACAAAACCGCCGAGCAGAAACTAGTGATTAGCTGTGCAGCAGAGGTATAATTGGAGCTTGTAATTACAGTATTGCCTCATTGTTCCTCTCTACCTCTAATTTACCACATTTACATCCCAGAAAACAATAACTTTGGTTGGGATCATAATGCGTAAATTACAGAAACGTGTTCACAGACAGTCAAGAAATCTGTGTAGTTAAACACAAGTTCATTTATAGAAGCAATTAAAGCTCCTATGAGGGATTTTTCATCAGTTGAGAAACAGACTAAAAATAGTTTTGGTGCTGCCCATGTGACCTAAAAGTGCAAATCAGACCACCATGACTGATTATCTTGAATATCTTCACTTTTGATACGTAACGCTCACCACAGCGGGGGTAGGTGTTACAGGGAAAATCTGGCGTAACATTAATTTAGGGTCAAACACACCATAACACCGAGTTAGACACCTCCTCTAGAGATGAATGTTGCCAACCGCTTGATCTCCACAGATAGCAATACAGAGAGCCACACGCTCAACCTAAACACCACTCTATAGCCGCAAATAATGCTCAGAACAGCACCTAACTTCATCAACAGGACATAAAGGGTCCTAGCCACAGCACTAGCCACCAAACATCTTTTAAAATTTCTTTAGCAAAGAGACTAAACACTATAGAGTGGCGTTTTGGTTGAGGTTTGTTTATGGCTCCTCAGACTGCTGTATATTATCCTGCGGTCGTTACTAAAGTTGGTATAACTAGAGAAGCAAACAGTCGGCAACATTCATCTCTGGAGGGGGTGTCTAACTCGGTGTTACGGTGTGTTTGACCCTAAATTAATTTTACGCCAGAATATCCCTTTAAATAAGGTGAGGAACAGCACCCTGCCAAAACTGCTTTTTTTATGAGTTTTCCACGGCAGGTTGGGATTATTAGTCAGAGAAACCCCTACAGAACACAATCACCACATACAAAAGTTCCCGCTTTGTCCACAGGGGGGCACCAAAATCAATGCAAACCAGCTCCCTCACAGGAGCTTTAACAACCGAGGCCTCAAATTTTTTCCTTACATACTGCTCATTTCTTTGAAACATAAAGGATGTGTAGCTTTTCACATAAAGGACATAAAAGACAGAATAGAAGCTTCTACTATTAAGACAACATTGTCCGGTGCTGAATCTACATAAGCTTTATAAATGTATGCAATTTAGCCTGGCTACAAGTGCAAGCGTCAAAGATAGAGTTACATATAAAGTGCTGGATGTACCAGACACTACTTAAGCAATAATTCCTGCAAAACTGCATATAACAAAAATGTAAAAAACTTATTACATTGCATATTTGTTGCTATAGAAACATTTTCTTGTACAAAGAAAATGAAATACAAAACAAAATCGCTGAGATTTCTACCTTTTTCGCTCTAGCTGAGTAAATACGTCACAATTACCAATTACATTCCAAATTACCGTAAGAGCTCTGATCAGCTGTCAGTTGTTATTCAAATTAGAGACACGTGGTTGGATGGTCACCCGCCTTACTGGGGTCTGGTCTGCATTACGATTGGCTACCAGCTCCTGCAGTTGCAGCGCCCCTCCACCAATGAAACAGAAAGCCGGGCACACGGGACCAGAGCAATCCACGTGACCCTCCCACAAAGGTCGCAGGGAGTGGGCATCATAAAAGGTGACTCGACCTTTCTCAAAGTCCAGGCACACGCCAAGCCGCGGTGGCAGCGGGTAGGTGACACCTGTCGGCGAAGAGGGGCCATTGCTGATGGGGTCACGGGGACCGTTGCCGTGGTTGTTGTTGTTGTGGTGGTGGTTGCTGTGCTGTGGCAGGTAGATCTTTCCCATTCCCATAGTTAGGAAGCAGAAGGGAGGAGCTGAGTCCAGAGCGTCCTCTGCTCCACTGTCATGGCCGCTGTCGGGGTCGTAGCTGGAGAGAGGGCACAGTTTGAAAAATAGGGACGAAAACATTATGAGTCATCAACCTATTTTCACACAAAATGAAAAAAAAAACATGCGATTTCCCACCACTGATTACGTGCAACAGTAGCAAATTAATCTCCCAGCTACTCACCGCGGACTTGCCATATCTTGTGGAAGGTGAAACCACTCCTGCAGTTTTGATTCCAAACCAACCCCAACCTTAAAAAAGAGAAAACAAGTAATTCACTCATTGAAAATCTTCACATCAGTAACTGGTTTAGTGCTCTCTTCTCTCAGTTACATTGGATTTGAGCGAAACCATAGACAACAGGCATTAGTATGAAATGGTCAAGTCTGTTCTTTACCGCCTAAATCAATATGGGGGAGACCACAGACCATATAAAACATGGACTTAGTCTTAGTTTTGTCACACATTGGTCTCTAAAGGTCTCTGAGTGATGGAGCCTCTCCATCAGACACTGACTCAACCTCACTCAACCTTTAGCCTCCCAGTTAACAGCCATAGAGTGTCAGTCTGTATGAGTCGAGTAAAGAGCTGTTCAAACCAGAACCATCTGTGTACTTGGATGTAAACATGTTTATTTTTGCCCTCATGACGGGCATCTTTATGTGGGTGTCGATGGAACTTCCTGTGAGTTTGAAGCCTGCCTCAAGAGGACACTTAAAGCACTGCAGTCTTTGTAATCGCACATGCAAAATGAAGCTATACTCGTGATTAGACATGCACTTTCTAGATTTGGGACATTAACCAGACTTTCCAAACAAAGCTGCTTTTTCTTAGGATTTAAGTTCATTTTTTTCCAACTCCTTTTCATGATTCCCTAACATCTCTATTTAAAATATAATTGCAGGATGGTTGTTTTTCTTATGTCTACCAGCAAGTATGACCAAACTCAACCATCAGCTAGTTGCATATTTGCAGCCTTGTGCAAAAAGTTGTTTTGATTTCGATTGCTCATTTCTTTGGTGGTTAAAACTGGAGAGAGGTGATTTTTCAAAATAACTCAACTTTTTTTCTTATATTAAGGCCAATAGTTTTACAAAACTTTGCATATTTAGAGATTCGGCTCAGTTGGTTGGCAGGGGGGCTCTCTGTAGCTGAGTGCCAGGAGGCTTACAGCCCGCCTGAGCTCCACCTCTTTGCAGGTTTCAAAATAATTGAAAGCTAGGTGGAGATAAATATGTCAGCCACCATCATTAGGCTTCATGACGCGTCACTGGAATCCAGTGAATCAGTTCCCTGATTCTGCATTTATATTTTGCTCAGTCTATCTCTTGAGAAATCATACTTTTCAGAGTTTAATTCAAGAGCTAACAATCTGAAAATATCCCATTTTGTATAATTCAGTAAGTAAAACTTGTGCAATAGAATTTTCTTACTTTCACAAGGTAAGACCCTGGTTCCACTGAGCATGCCCAGTAGTGTCTTCCCTGTGTGATAGCAACATCCCCCACAAGGAGATCTGAGGTCAGGTGACAAGACGTGAGGGCGTGGTCAGCAGCCTGAAGCAGGGAGAGACCAGGGACGCTGCGAGCACAGCGCTGCTCTTTACTGACCACCAGCCGGTCGGCATGGAGACCCCAGCGAGAGTCCAGGTAGAAGTTAAGCACTGTGAGGAGAGGAGGAAAGGAGGAGAGGGAAGGAAGAGAGGAAGATGTGAGGGAAGACAGAGAGACTGGTGCATTCAAAAGAGACATAAGGAGCTTTATAGAAGCAAAAGGAGAAGTTTGGGAGGCAGCAGAATTACAGTCAGGAGGCAGCTAGGACAAGAGAAACGAGGAGAATACAAATAGAGAGGAGAGACTATGGGGAATAGAGAGCAGGCATGCACCTCCTCCCACCAGCACTGGCATGAAATAAGGGACACTGATCCATAAACTGATGACTCAGGGATAAAAATACAGAAGGTATCACAAAGAAAGCTCTGTCTGTGGGGAGTGCAGATTTTTTCCAAAGGAAGTACATTTTACAGGGAGAACATACGCAACAGCAGAGGGAAAAAAACAGCCTACAGGAACACAAGGACTCAACCAATCACTGAACTCCACCAGTTTAAAGCCCTGGATCTGGGTGCGATCCATGTTGTTAAGCCCGGCGTCTTAACAAACTGCAAACCTCATCAGCACTCGGACAGATCTCGTTAAAGACAGAGGGGTCATGGGTGTATAGATGGGATGCATGGGATGACCACGAAGAAAAGAGAAGAGATTATCATGTGCTATGGAGGCCCAAAGAGGTGGTCAGGAGATGTGAATGCACTTCTTACGTTCTGTGGGAGGCATGTAGGTTGGCGGCGTTGAGGTAGCGCAGAAGAGGATGATATGTACAAAGCTGTGAAATGGAAATAAACCGTGAGAGGAAGATGCAGAATTGAGAGGAGGAAAAGTGAAGATGAGTTAGAAGTGGAAGAGGTGAAAAAAAAATGGAAAAAAGGAAGATGAGAAAGGAAACAAAAGAATGAATTATTAAGAGCAGACCATGACAACATCCTTATGCTTTAATGTGTCAGAAAAAAAAGTAGGTGTGAGAAGATGATGGTTAGCAGAGTGTTGTGTCACTAACATGAGATTTTTAATAACTCTAATAACACTGTCGCTGATTGAAGTAGCACAACAAGAATCTGAGTTAAAAGCTAATTATCAGGATCTGGAAATTATCAAGTGTTGAGTCTTGGTTTGGTTTTAAAACAATGATATTGTTTGATTTAAATGAGAGCTCTTAACTTCAAAAACAGTCTTTCTTCAGCCCCAGATTACGCCAAAAAGATCCAGACTCTGACACATTTTCATTACACAGAATCTAATTAGTTATTTCTCGTCATGATCCTGTTTGTAAGAGTCGTCCTACATTTTTCTTCTTTTCTCTTCTATCTTATCTAAATACCTTTATGTCCCACTAAAAACATGCCTCACTTTCTTGTGCTTGCCTAAAACAGTGGGATTGGAAAGGCCTGTGTGCATAGTTGGCTATTTCTTGTATATATGTATATATGATTTTCTTTATAACCCTGAGTGGTGCCTGTGTTGTCTCACACACCAGTAAGTGTGCAAAAGTGAACTAAAGACCTACTTGAACAGTTAATAACCAACGCCTTTGACATTATAATTCACCTCTGTTGTTCTGGTGAATTCTTCCAAAGTCTGTACTTGTCCATCAGGAGTGACCCACACCTCTGTGTTTCTCACCTGGAGCGGGCGGGGTGTGCAGGTACACCTCCTCGCTGTACTCCCCGTAGCCCGCCTTGTTGCAGCCTCTCACCCGCAGCACGTACACGCTGTCCATCTCCAGCCTGTCGATCACTGCGCTGCTCCCACTCACTTCATCCAGTCGCTGCCAGCCCCAACGGGCGGCGGACAATCCTCCTCTGATCCCGCCTCTCGATGCTCCTCCTGGTACCACACCTCGGCGGCGATACTCGACAGAGAAGTGCCAGGCTGGGGCGGATTCTGGGGGGAGGCGCCAGCACAGGAAGAGCTGGTCGTAGGCCAGGGTACGCTGTGTGTCAATCACAGGAGCCTGGGGAGCTGGGATGGTTCAGAGTAAAGTTTACATTCTTCAGTCAAATCAAGTTTAAAGTTTAAACACAAATCTTGTGTCATTTTTCTTGACTACTGTGATTCTGAAATCGTAGTTTACATGGTTTTTGGATTGCAAGGGTAAGACCTGCATGCTTTTTTATGGCCAGCAGGGGGCATTACAGCAGTTACAGGGATTGACAGTGGATTTATATCTTAGTGAAACTTTTCTGATCATTTCAGGCTTTAAATCTCTCATTTTGAAAACTATGGTCTTATTTGGAGCACAGTTGATGATAAAGCAGGGTTTGACTTCACTGTGTCTCTGTTTACATAAATAGTCAAGGTTCAAAGGAGATATGAAAACCATCAAACACATCTGTCCTCCTCTCTTTCTTCTCCTTTCAACTTCTCTTTTAATGCTCCCTCATGTTATCATCCCCATTCTTTCCATTCCTTCCCTCCTCCTCCTCACCCTGGATGAAGTTCAAATCTGTCAGAAGTTTGAGTTCTTTGGAGACGTCCAGCTGGAAGTGTCTGAAGGACGGATCAGCAGCCAGAGTGAAATGCTGCAGATTATCAATGGCTTTGCTCAACCTGTGGAAGTAAAAACAGACAGAGCACTGTTAGAAGGAGACCACTGTGTACTTTTTCTACTCCCACTGACATTGTGGGAGGGTGAGACAGATCGATGGAGGGAGAGGTGTCAGACATCTTAACAGATAAGGCTGGCGTCATGCTGTATGTCCACATTGGGAACAAATATGCTGCAGTGGTGATTGTAGACAAAAATGGCGCAATTTAAAGTTCCTCACAGGAGCTTTAATATTCTTTAGATTTAATTACGATAGCATACCTGCTTTTATTGTAAATTACAGCAAACGCAAACAGAACCTGAGGTCTGTTCAATCACGGCAGAGAGCAATGAGGAGAAAAACAAACAGTAGACCTGTTATGAGTCTGGCGAGCAGCCTGTACAAAACAGGGCTGGTCTGTTTCCTTCAGCAGCTCCTGGGTGAACGCCATGAGCCCCGCGTGTTCCATCAAGCCCCGCCGCTCTGCCACTTGGGCGGCCAGCGCCTCGCCTCGTTTCTGCCGCGCTGCCTCTAGAGCCTGGGTGAGCGAAGCGTGGCGCTCAGCCAGAGCAGCCGTCAGATCTCTGATGCTCTGAGCCAGCTGCTCTCGGGCTGATACACTATTTACCTGGTGAGGATAACACACAGAAACAGCAGAGACAGGTTTCAGCGTTTAGAAACACACAGGTGTACAAACTGACAACATCTTTAATTTACAGGGATACAAAAGGCCTGTTGTTGAGAGTAATTTACTGTGACAGAGAAGTGTTCAAAATACACAAAAAGATTTTAAAAAGACAATAAATAAGGGAGAAATATTTAAAAAATTGAGAAACTAATACTAATGTGCTGCTAGTTTTTAATTAAATCTCTTGTGGTCTAAAAAAAATATTTGTTTTTGTCTTGTCAACTTGTAAACGAAAAAATAAAATAAACTAGCATTTTTTACAACTATATACAAATGCAACTATACCTCTTTCTCTAGAATTACACTATATTTATACTATACTAAAACTAGCTCTAAATTTTGGTATTAACAGCCACTAATTTTTATCAAGTATGTGTTACATGAATTTGGTATTATTTATGTATACTTCCCCAGGGCAACTGTGCAAACACAACTAGCTAATGAAACCATGAGCTGTGACCTAAAGCTCCAGCTTAAGTCTTAATAAGCCCTGAATCCTTTATAAACTATTCAAAAGGAGGATTAATTATTATACAAAAGAATGAAAGATTTAAAAACATATCGTATAAGTTGTTTCGTGTAAAATTAATCTATCATTAGCAATGGTAACAGCTGTGTTACACTGCGTTAAGTAATTTTTAAACAAACTCTTCGTATAAATGAACTTCTTATGGAATTTTCAAAGTCTGGTCAAACAGAAGCTCGCTCTTTTTAATAGATTCTTGTACAAATAAACCAACAATAATCTCCATCAGTTTTTTTTTAAAGTGTTAAGCTGCCAGTTGGTGTTATTTCCATTTTGTCGGCCCGAAGTTTTAATCACCTCAGTCTGTGTGATGGAGCTCTCCAGCTGGGTAATCTGACCCAGAACTGTATCCTGGTTGGACAGAATGTAGTTCATCTCCTTTGTAATCTTCTCCTGTCAAACACATCAGGAAAAAACACACAACATTCAACAAACAAGCCACACAAAGAAGAGCTCAACTATCACACAGAGCCCGATCTGTTTTCTCGGATATTAAAAGACACTCTTTGATATTTGGAAATATGCACTTATTTATGTGACAGCTTCTGTGTGGTATATGAAACTATAAAGCAAAGTCACAATAATTAAACAACAAGCATGTATACCGATGACTGAATCTCATGTTATAAAGATAATGTAAAAGCAGCAATGACAAACATGCATAGATCAGGGTATCACCTTAAAATCTAAATTAAGTCTTAATTTCTTCTCCACGTTGCAGATATTTAAAGTGAGAGTCCGTTTTCTAGAGTACCCTGTGAATTAAAACTGTCCATTGTGTTGGACATTTAAAGAAATCCAATCCGGACTGTGTCAGATTCTGAGTACTACCTTCAGGGCCTGGTACGCCTGAGCCACAGGCAGGATTTTGTGTCCGGTGTGGAGGCGCCGTAGTTTGCAGAGAGGACAGAGGAGGCGCTGACACGTCCGACAGTAGAACTGAAGTTTTTCCTGGTCATGCTCTGGACAAGTCAGAACCTGAGGACAAGAGACAAGAGCTTTTACAGCTAAAGACAAATGACCTCAACCTGTCATTTAGAGGGCATTCAGATGAATTACAGTCACTTTCATGAATGCCAAAAAACTCCTTACATGAGCTTTAATTCTATAAATTGAGTATTTGTGTCCCAGTGTCTCACCTTTGGTCTGAAGTTGAGTGTGGGCAGGATATGTTCATGTTGTGCCCGTGGCGTCCCCCAGGGGTGATACAGCTTAAAACACTCATTACAGAAATTGGATCTGCAGTCAGCGCAGCCTTTGGTGGCCTCCAGAGCCTGAGGAGGCTTACAGAACTGACACATGACAGCCACACTGCCCAGGCTCACTGTGTGCCTGTACCTGTGGGAGGTGTGGAGGGAGAACACCGAGGACAGAGAAACAGAAAGAAAATGTTGGTCATTGATAAAACAACCGAAAGAGATCTGCCAACAGTTACCGACTAAATATAGACGGGTTTCTGTGCAACGTCATCGCAGGTATGCGCGCACAGCCATGGGGCAGAAAGCGGGACATTTCTTATTTGTTTACTAACGGAGAAAGAAAATGACAAGGAGCTGTTGTGCTGTCAACTGCAGGAATCGGCAAAGCAAACAATCGGCAAACATTACGACCCTGCTCCTGATACTAGAAACAAATTCATGGATATTTCAGCAAGTGTTTTTCTGATTTTGATGCAATGAAAGACAAAGTGATTTTTCTGTGAAATGACATTTTTTTGCAATTGTGTCAGGGAGAACTTGCCAACAATACAGCATCTTCATTGATATCAGTTCACCCTGAAGCAGACTTTTGCCCCATGGTTGCGCACGCACCTAGTATTGTTTGTACACAAGAAACCCGTCTATATTATTCTTCAAGATTGATTCTACACAAGACAAATTCATTCCAACACCAGAGAAAATGTAGTGAAACCCAAAAGGATCAGACTAGGAGATTTAGAAGTGTTGAATTGGTGATTAAGTAGCTACTATACCAAGCACACAGTCAGCCATGACAGCTACAGTGTCAGTGCACGCTCTGCAGGATTCTTCAACAGCTCAGCTGCTGCTGAATAATTACCATCTGAACTGGAAATGTTCCCACACCTTCTGTTTTTCAGGTCAGAGTCGACTAAACACTGAAGGGCAGTATCACTGTGTGTAATTGAATTTGCACCTACCTCTGCATGGTTTATTTCATTTGGTCGAGCGTTTGTTCATGTGTGAGTATGTGCCGCACTTACCTCTCCACTATACGCTCTAAAGTGAGGTTGCGCAGACAGTCAGTCAGGCCCTTCTCGCCCAGCTCCACATCTCTGCCGCAGGGGACACAGGGGAACAACATCACCAGAGGTGGGCCTTCCTTGCGGCGTCGCCCTGGATACGACCCATATCCTGGAGACCGGGGCATGGACGGGGAAGGCGGGTGGGGACCTTAAACCAAGAAGAGAGATGAGCAGAGGATAGGAACTGTTTGCTTAAAGAAAAACTATAAACCTATCATGTTAAATCAAGAATTCAACTAAAGACGGCTCTGGTAAGCCTTAGAAAAAGGTTTAATCCATCCAGGGCATGAGCTTTTTATGAAATGATGCTTCATACCTGCCCGCAGCACACGGTCAATAGGTCTCTGCTCGTGTTTAGGTGTTGGCCTGCGGGCCTGACGGGGTGAGCGCATATTGGGCGTGGAGGCTGGGGAGTTTGGCTCGGGGGGAAGCTCTGGAGGCGGGTAACCGTTTGCAACCAAAACCTCGGAGGCACACAGGAGGCAGACACTGTGCAGGCATGGCAGGACCACAGGCTGTTTGACGATGTCCTTACACACGGGACAGTGCAGCTCACGCTCCAGGCTCTTCATGTTAGACTGTCAGAGAGAAAGATTTTGACTTTAATCTTCTCATACCAAAACAAAAACAGCGTTTTAGAACTTCCAGGAATGTTCCAGTACTATCCTTGTTTTTTAGCTTTAAATTAAGACAAAATTTGCAACATTTTGATTCGAATCTGAAACTATTTACTCAGAGTATAAATTGTAAATCAAAATGAACATCCTAAGTAGTACATTTTCTCTACTGAGCAGTTTTTGACGTATACCGTGGGCACATTAAAAAGACATTAGAGCTTCAGTCTTTAAGAGGGGAAGTCTGCCGGACACACGACTTAGGCCATCATTCTTATTAAATATGGATATGGAGCAGACATAAATTATTTAACCACTGCATAGAGTGCATGTCTCATGGTGCAGCTCTTCATGTGCATACAGGCTGTTGGCAAGTTTGTTACACTTAGTTATATTTTGCAGTCATCCCTAAACATGTGCAGTAGGTATACATGAGGACCTGCTAGGCCATGATGTAGGAGGGAAGAGGACATAGGATACTGAGGAAAGGTGCAAACCAGACTGTTTAGGTTGTTATATTTGTTTTTCGTGGATCATAATGAGTTTTATCACCCATTACTGATTTGTTTCTTTGTATTTAAGGCAGTGCAAAAGTAAATCTTTCTAGTACCTTCAGGCTATGTAAGCTGCCCCTCTGGAGCAGATAGCACGCTCAGTCCTCCTCAAGGTCATAGATTTGACATGAAAGGACACACAGGCTGTTGCACAAACCTGTGACTTCACGTCTGCAGTCAGTCCACCACGCCGCTTTAATTATGACATGTTTGAAGAGACCTGTCTCTCCTTCCTTTTCCCTGCACCACCCTGTATGAGTGCAGCACATCAGCTGGTCAGGATTTCTTTTTGTTTCGTGGATGCCCTTGACTCACAATCTCAACCTGTTTCAGCAGCAGTGTGTCCACATCACTGACACCATGAGTCAACTTGAAACAAACAGACGGACCAGACTAACTGACAGGCCATGCTGCATCAGGGCTTTTGGGATTTTTGTCACTGTGATATGCTGAGATGCAGCAACAGGGCAGTTTATCACAGCACAATACAAAGAGCATCTAAGTCACTGAATCTGCATGTGTCTTATGTGATCAGATACATTGGATTCCTGCATCTATACTTGATTTTCATAGGCCTAAGAATTCACATAGTGCTAAATAGCTGGATGATATCATATCCAGTCAGACAATGTGGCACAGCCACAGGCATGCCGCCCAAAAGGGACAGAGAGAGGCTGCTGGAGGAAAAATTAACCAGACCCAGATTGGAGCATAATACTAAAATAATTGGATTACTTCATATAACCTACTTTCTCCCCCTGTCCCCCTCTCTCTGTCATTCCCCAATGTCAACTCCTGCAATGGCCTGCCTTCCTCTCCTCGTGCAGCAATATAGCCCTTTGTAATCTGAGGTTACCAGCAGACTGTATTCACCACAATGAAAAGTAGCCCTAATGTAACCATTTCTCATGGATTATGCGCACTGCTTATACTGTGCCCGGCGTGGTGAAGGCGTAAAACAAGCGATGCGACAGCGCATCCTTACCTTCACCTGGAATCTAGGCGCCATGGCAGCAGCAGCAGCAGCAGCAGGCTACGTGGAGCTATATTTCCTGCATCAAGAGGCTCTCGAGAAGAGGGGAGGGGCTTCGGGCAATTTTTCCATCGCGAGCAAAGAGACCCTCACGCCGGTAAGATGGGGTCTGCGTGTGAGGCTGTGGTGTGAAGATGCGAATCCTAGAAGGCGCGTGCAAGTGCAATAACCTGAGCACGAGTCAGTCTGCAATGGTCCTTAGTAAGCACCTCTGCAAATATCATTTTAACCCTTCAGCAGCCGATTCTACAGCCAGCAGTACCACACGCACACACATGCACTCTATTTTTTTCTTCCCGTGCCTCTGCAGCAGCCCATTCCTGCATCTCGTCTCCATGGAAACCAGCATCCAGTGAGCCCCCCAAAAAAGAAGCGTGCCATTTCAGTGTGATCACAAACTGATTTGTCATTAGAAGATGTAAAAAAAGAAACTCATCTGTCATTGGAGAAAGAGCGCGTCTACACTTCTCAGACTGAACATGAGCTGTTGCACCGAGACATCCGAGCATCACCAGCAATATCGAAGCAAAATAACCAAACGGCCATTGATGCTCTACAAGGAGCCGATATTTTAAAAATTAAGACTACAGGCATTACATTTTGATATTACACCTTTTAATCTGGCAGCATTACAAATAGGAGAAGGCCCGGTTGAAGGCGACAGAAATGGTGGAGACGTGCCGTAAACGTGGTTCTCCATTTTAAAAATACAGACTGTGGTCGTTATTTCTCCACATATTGAAATAAATCGTATCTTAAATAAACGTATCGACAGCAAAAGACATGCAAACAGACATGTGGTATACTTACACTGATGCGAACCAAAGCTTCCATCGTGGATGTGGCTGTTTTCAAATCCATTTCTGCCATTTTAAGAAGATAGCTTCCTCCTGTTTTCATCATCTAGATATAAATCGTGATGTATCTGGGTCATACACCATTTCATACATAATGAAAAATAAAAAAATGTCCGGACTTTGAAAAATGTTGACGGTTTATCGTGTGAAAATGCCACGTTTACTCGATAAAAATATTGTAGTTTTTAAAAGCCTATCCTGACATTTTTACGCACAAAAATAACCAAAAAGAGAAACTGCAAAAAGCCCTGTCGTCGACAAGAAAAAAGTATCTATTTCTCGTGTTTGTCCTAAATGTACATCATATTGTAGATGCCTGTGGCTTCAGTCCTCACGCAGACATCCCTCCTCCCAACCTCCCAACCTTCACATCCCATACCGGATTACCGGATGCCTTTGAATGATGTAGCCAGCAGCAGGGCCGGAGTGTGATGTCACGGAGAGGGGGCTGATCCCCCCCACCCCCCATATGTATATATGTATGTGTATAGATAGATAGATAGATAGATAGATAGATAGATAGATAGATAGATAGATAGATAGATATTTAACCCTTTAGTGCCTGACACCACAAATTGTGGCCGGAAAATTCAAATTATCGAGCTGAAATGTTTAATTTTAGTAGGGTGTGTCTTGTGATTTCAGCATGAGCTATATAATGTCCTTAAAATTAACAAATATATTTATGGTAGGGTAAAGGTCCCGCCTCCTTTGCCTCTGATTGGCTAGAAAAGCTGGAAACGTCATCACACACTCAAGTCAAATGCGGGCTGTCGGTTCTGTACATTGAAGAGAACATTACAGAACATTATTGCACTTCTGAATCTCCTAACCCTAACCCTCATCCTAATCCTAACCCTAACCTTTGGCCTAACCCGAACCCGACAGATGATGATGTTTCATAGCCAGTACAAATAACCAATCGGAGCCCAGCACTTCTAGCCAATCAGGGGCGAAGGAGGGCGGGACCTTTCCGTACCATCATACAAAAAAAAAATTGCGTCCTGTGATAACCATCAGCTAATCAGCTCGCAGTCTCCCAGTTGACAATAACCCTGGATCCTTTCTCTGGTTTCTCTGTTTTACTCATTATCAGATACAGCACAGGATGTAGTAAAGTGCTACACATCCTTCTCTATTTCTCTTATCTTTCCTCCTCTATGGTGTGCCACAGTGTACACATTCATATCTAAACCAGTCAACCATAGTATTACATCCTTTCATATCATTAAAAAGCTAATTTTGATTAATTTCTGCCTCTACTCTCCTACATTAACCATCACGATGAGAGCTAATTAAGTTCTCAGAAACCACGATTGAACTGTAGATGTGAACGTTTGACTATGTCATCTGTGAACATGGAGGCAGCAGACTGTATGACCTTGAGTGCAGTCAGCCAATAAAAGAGGCCCAAATGTTTCAGCTCTATTTGGAAGCTAACACACCGTCCACCTTTTCCCTCAGCCTAGTGGATTTAGTAATAGATGATAATGCCTAATACTTGGTAACAATTTCCAGGTTATTCTTACAACTTTTTATCATTTTAGGTTGCTTGATTTTCAGTTTTAAATATGTTAACTATTCATATATTCAATAAGTAAATCTTTAGACTTAAAAACATGTAAAGCTGATTGTTTCCTTGCGCATTTGAGCAATGTAGATGTAAAAAGAGTATAAATGTACCACAAATACTTCAAAATGCACCTTAAATGATTTCCACCAACCAAACACATACAGTAGAAGATACGTACAGAAAACTGCTGTAGTTGTGAGTTAATAAAACAGGAGTTTGTTGTTTGTGATAAGAATGTAGGCCCTGAGGCACCCTGTTATTTGTGTCCACAAGATGGCGCCAATAGTCTTTGTTTGATGAAGTGCAGGCTCACTGGTACTACCACTGACAACATATTAGTACAGTTACTGAATAATTGAACAAAGGGGCATTTTTGTTGAAAACAAAACCAAAAATTGTGTTGAAATGTAAACAAATACTAACTATGGAATATTTTTTCTGGTTGACCCGATCATCAGTAAAACAGAATTACCCAACTCTATCAGTGGCACCATTGTGGTGTCATATATGCTTAATTCAGGCTTACTGTAAGGACTTTGGTGCAAACATATATTTCATCCATGTATGGAGTTTATTTTTTTAGATCTATGTCACTTTTACTTTAAGGATTAATCCAGCTTTTTATTCCAATACTGCTGCGGTCCTCATTTTGTTTCTCTTAAATCATTTATTGCTCGGTCAGTTTATGAGCTTGGCAGGACATTGTGTATCATTTAACAACAACATATAAACCCTCATTAGATAGATAACACTGGCAGCTCTCTACTCAAAATTACACCCTTGCACCATCAGTTTGTAATACAACATTTGACCACAGGAGGGCGCAACTCAACTTGAGAAAACATTCAAATCAGAAGAGCTGTGCATGCTGATGGAGCAGCTCATCCGGGTAAGGCTTAAATTAATGATATTGCAACTGATAATTGTAGGCTTTGTGGTAAACCTACCCTGGAATCAACCAGCTCATGTTCACTCAATGATATCACAGTTTATCCCAGCGATCAAATCGACCTAAAGCTGTAAAAGAAATCATCACAGTAATCAATATTTGGACAGTATTCCTCTTATCAATTGTTGTAGATTTCAAATTTAAACACAAAACAGTGCCAGACTTTTTTCTTATCTTAATCAAATCCCATGTGTTATCAATCACTCAACCACTGATCATGTTAAGATGACCTATTCTGAAGTGGCGGATCAATATCCAGGCTACTGGCTGGTTTTGCTGATGACCACTTTGAGCCTGTTTTGATGCCAGTTTCATACAGGAGTACCTTTTTTTACTTGTAAGGTATGGTAAGGCCTCCTCTCATTGCTTGGCAAAGTCTGCAAAGAGCTGATGACTGCATTGTCAATGATTATTAATTTTTGATCAGACTATCATTATTCAGAGCAGCAATCAAAATGTTAAAAAGATGTTTCGGCTCACTTTGATGATAGGGGAGACGGGGCTTGTTGTCACACTTTTTACTCTCATATATTTCTTGTTATCGATACATAATATATAAATAAAATGTGTACCACATGAAAGGACAAAGTCTCAGGTATATATTTCAAATTCATGTCATTTTCATATCTTGTGTCACTGCAGAGTTATAAGCAGTTAAACGGAGAGTGTGAACATGTGACATGTTGCCCCACCATCAGGTAAGTTGTCTCACTTTATGGGGTAAGATGTCACAGTGGATTTTGCAGCTAATAAAACAAGGACAGAATTATTATTGTTCTCATTTTTTTTTTACAGTAAAGTGAACGTCAAAGTCAGGCACAGAAAATGTTTATCATTGAGCTAGAAAAAGTCATTGAACAAATGTTAACATAAAATATTATGCAACATGCTCTTGAGTTTAGAGAGCTGTCTGACTCTGTATTTCAGCTGAGGTGAATGTTTTGCAGTACCGAGCCAAGGTATGGTAGTTGACTTTGTTCTTTATTGTTTTCCAGATTGATTTATTAGCTAGGGTCACCTGCCTGACTGCCCTAAGCACCACATCAGGTACATGTTCTGTTTTTAGGAAATTCCTGACCATGTCTCCATGCTTTCTTCTCTCCTTTACACCACTCTTTTTTCTGTAAAAATTAAGTCAAAATTTCTGTATGACAAATGCTGATAAGCAGACTCTCTATGTTAATTTCAATCCCTTTTAAACACAAAACGATTGAGACATGTTGCCCCAAACTACCATGTCTGCTAATTCTAGCTCTAGATTAAAGTTAGTTTAAAACAGAACAATGACTGAGGTATGACAGGATACCTTATTCTCTCTTCTAACAAGTCCACATGTAACACTGCTAGGATTTTTATCTAGAAGAAGCTTATGTTAAAATATATAGAGTCATTTTTTTTTTTACTTTGGGTTGTGCCAAATGGTTAATTGGCGCTCCTCTCTTCTCAGACAGGACACGACCCCTGACCATGTAAAGGAAGAAAACTAGTATTCCACTTTTTAGTTGCGCCCTCTGGTGGCAAAGATAATTGCATTGTGACAACTTACCCATGTGACAACAAGCCCCGGTCTCCCCTATTAGTCAGTCCTTTTTCTGCAAGTATAATAAACGATTTAAGAAGTGTTTTAAATTATGTTATCCAGTACTTCTTCAATGATCAGACTGCGCAAGTGATGATTTTTATTTATTTATTTATTTAAATGTTTTTTTTTTACTCTCCCGTTTTATAACTTGTTGTAAAGTCACCGTTGGCAGAAATGTGCGTTTGCTCAACTACTTCCAAACTTGGTGCGTAAAAGTACTCGTCGCACCCCCTCTGTGTCAACAGTTCAACAGTGTCGGCTATCTGTATCATAGTTTGACTCATAATACTCAGCAGGGGCAGCAGTCAGGGCGGGGCCTGAGTATAAAATCTGTCTCACTTATTCCGACCTCTGCTCAACATTCCTGCCTCTCCTGTGCCAACACTCGCCTCGGCTGTGCACGGTAAGAAATAACGGGACTTCTCTGCATCTGGTCTGACTGCTGTGGCTCGGTTAGGACTTTCTTTTTAACTCACCTGCAGGTACAGAAGTTAGGGTGTGGTGGGATTGTAAGAATAATGTCTTTCATTTTTCAAGCAGTCAGAGACTTCCTGTTATCAGTGATGAATGATTGATCAAAAAACGACTTTATACTTTTAAGTAGAAGTTATGTCTGCTACGTGTTTTCTGTCTTTACTCAACCTTTAAAAAGAAAAAGTAGTTTTGTGTCCATAGCTTATGAGTTGAAACTGAACTTTTGAACCCACACTGTCATTTTTTCCAGTAACTCTTTCACTCAGCTAAAACTACATTTCATAAGTTTATGCCACGTTATATTCCTAGACTTTCAAAGTAAAAGCAGCCGAATCTTCATTGTCAGGTAGGTAAACTAAAATAGGGTGTGGTTAGTCTGAAAGCATGCACGCACATGTTTTCCAGCTGCTATACTCCTCTTTCGCATTTCCACCATTTTGGTCAACTGCACTGATGTTTCCCTCATGTGTAGGAGTGTTTCAATCCCACTTTCACTCAGAAAAAAAAGGAAAAAGAAAGATCAAACCCTGCTCCTCCTCCCCACTCTTCAGTTTTTTAAAGTGTTGCAGCTGTACAGCAGCTTGAACATAGTGTTCTGGTATGATGGTTTGGGTATTTTAACAAATACAGTATGTGCAGTAGCTTATCCAGACAGTCTTTTTCAGCCAACACCATGACAGACTGTATCTAATTCCTCATGAACATTACTCACAGGTGGGCAGGGCGCTGGAGCAAAGAGCAGCAGTGTGGCGTCTTCCTGTCAGGGCTGCACCACATCCTCAAATGCTACTGAGATCATCTCTCTTACAGAACAGAGTCCACAGACTTTCATTTTGATTAAACATTCAATGCTCTGTTTTGGTAGATACAAACTGATTTGATAGAGATGTTTCTGATAGAGACAAGCCTTTCTAGGGGATGTAGATTTGTGAACTTGTCATCCTAACACTGGTTTTGAGTTTGAAAAACCTCTGGGGGGCTCAGCTACTGTTAAGCTTTTAGATAAGGTCATCAGGATAACATTTTTCTTTCTAAACGAGTTAATTGAAAAGCTATCAGGCTATATTTTCTATCTTAGCTGAACATAAACTGCTAAATACTAACCTTAACTTTGTAAAAGTGGTTTTGCTTCCACACAGACACAGATAGTTTTGACCTTGATAAACCTCAAGTCAGTTTTGAAATATCCCTCTGAATTTCTTTATCCTGCACTCTATTATTTGCTTCTGAATCAAGAAATGAGAAACTGGTCATGACTTTGCTGACCTCAGCCTGACATGGTAGCACTCATCTGAGCTTCCTGCATGTTGACGTCAGAGAAAAATGTCTGCCACAGAAATCTGGAATTGACAATTTATTCTTGATTTGTTATCTTTTCAGATCAAACACAACTCAGCAACCATGCCATCAGAACTAGAGAACGCCATGGAGTCACTCATCAAGGTGTTCCACAAATACGCCTCCAAGGAAGGCCGGAGCGGCACACTGAGCCGACGTGAGCTCCGGGAGCTGATGGAGAACGAGCTGTCTGGCTTCCTAAAGGTGAGAACATGTGAAATACATAACCACAGTGTCAAGAATTTGCATACAGTTTTACTTTATTATTTTTATAGCATCTTAAGAAGTTGTATGAAACCACAGAGCACGAATATGAGTTCTCGTCTTTGAATAATTATCTTTTTCTACTTTTGAAAACAGGTGCAAATTTTATCTCCGTTACTCCTCTGGTAGATTTTTCAGCAGTATGACTTGTGGTTTGTTTATTCAGAGACAGGCGTGAAATATACTACTACTTATTCCTTTACATGATCGAAATATATGACTGTGATTTTCAGTTTTTCTTTATTATCTCATACTGACTTATTCTTGATGTTGCCCCTGCTTCCATCTCTCTTTTATCTCAGAGTCAGAAGGACCCTGCTGCTATAGACAAAATCATGAAGGACCTGGATACCAATGGTGACGGCCAGGTAGACTTTGAAGAGTTTGTTTCCCTGGTTGTTGGACTTTCCATTGCCTGTGAGCAGTGCTATCAGATGCACATGAAAAAGGGGAAGAAGTAAATGACAGCAGCTGAGGAAGGAGAAGAAATCAAGATGCATTCCAGTTTTTGTAAGGACGTCTTTGCCCATTAAATTGGCAGGAAAAAAACAAAACTGTGTTGTGTTGAGTGATTATTGTTGTCTCTTTTAATTTCTGCCCTCAAGTCAGTAGAAGTGCTTTTACAATTTGTAAGAAAAATTCCTTTTTGATGGGTTTCTCACATGTATTGATATTAAAACTGGATGAAAACACCATACCACAGATGCTCCACTGTCTTTTTAGGGCTTATTTTCCTTTAAGGTCAATGTACTGACCACCACTGCTGCTGTACTACTATCACTCAGTGTTATGTTGTAATTCTCACCTGTATTTTATACCACCTGGGTATGAAAGGGCAGTCGAACCTCACCCTTTCTGTGAGATAAAGTCCAGCTTATCACTGCACTGAGGAATCTGCAGAATGAATCAGTCACAAACACACCCCTCTGTAAAGATGATGTTGCAACTCTGCTAATTACGACACATCCATGGTGCGAAAAACGCTCTGCATAAAGATTGCTGCATTCTTGTCAAAGCGACTGGAATAATTCAGATAGACCGAGGGGCTGTGAAAATATGCAGGGGCACCACGGGTCAGAGCGACACTGTTTTTCCAAAAAATTCTTTTCATTGTGATTCATGTCTGGCAGAAGTTCAATAACACCAAAGACAGATAAGAAACTCCCACCATTAAATTCTCTGGGATCGAGTTTCTCAAGCAGAACTTCTACTCGGTTTTTCACTGCCCTCAAGGCTGTACTGTGGGCAAAGAAATCTCATGATCAGACTCTGAAACCCTGCACACACCTCCTTAGGCAGGGCCTTGTGCTGCGGCCTGCCAGTGTTCATGGTTACAGAGCAAACACTGAGGTTGCCAGATTATGAGGCTCAGTGTGTGCTTGTGTGTGTGTGTGTTCATACTCAGCCCTTCAGTTTACACAGAGCCACTCCCATGTGATCCACAGCCGAGTACAGGACCAGGATTTCCCCCTCTTCTGTTTTTTTCACACCTCTTTTTTCTATTGTTGATTTACTTTCTATCAAAGGCAGTCGTTGGTGAAATCATGGATAAATATAAGTTTCATGTTTATTATATTGTTTCAAACTACACAGTCTTGGATGAGATGAGATTAGTAGTTTGCCTTACAACATGAGATGAAGCAAGAAAGCAGAACAGTGACGTTACAGTGCCAATCACAGCTTGTGATTAAGACTTCGTAATACTTAGACCACAATCTTATGTCGTGTTTCTGAGATTTGTCATTTGTTGCCACGGCAAAGGTGTGTAAAGATGAAGCTTCAGAGGCAAGCAAAGTCTGTGAGGCATGCCACGCCTTCCTGTCGACCCTAAGTACTCTTTTCACATCCTGTTTGTATCTGTTGCCATGGAGAAGTGACATCAAACGACTCCGAGCTTGTTATAGTAGGTGACGTCGCCCTTACAAAGTACTTCATGTCTGTTTCTTTACTTCCTTCTAATACCAAGCACTTTGCTAGTTATATTCGCAGCTGCAGCAGTGAAACCACCAGCCAAACTGCTCAGCTAAAAGCTTTTTTTCATTAGTCCCCACCTTGAATTGGTTCTGTCTTTAAGGTATGTAAACAAAGCTGAAACTACCTTCCCAGCTATAGACCCCTCTACAGAATAAACAGGCATGTCAGAGCAGGTAAAGAGCAAAAGTGATGACTGGATGATGATGGCTGGATTCCATGTAGTTGCTTAAATCTTGGGGTCCTGGTATTGCACATGATGGCTCATTGCCCCACTGTCATGACTTGATGTTTCAATCAAATCTAACAGATGGTGTGACTATCTCCATTTACACTTTATTTTATTTTTATTTTTATTACCATTATTATTATTATTTTGAGTCTTTGAGACTTGTAGCCAAATACTTGCTGGTTTTCACAAATCATTTTTAAATAAATGAAATTGTCTTTAAGCCAGAATTTCTCATCAACTTGTTTTTAACTTTTGTTGAAAGTCTGGTAAGAGTTAAGAAAGCGTCTGATACTGATAATTTAGGGATTATGTGTAAAAACAGGTGAGACATAACCCCTTCATTTCAGGTTAGCGTTGCACTACCAATGCTGGGATTATAATTGCATGGCCACCTGTTCACTATATATTATCTTTGAGATTCTTGTCACTATTTAAGCCTGATTTCTTAAGTGTTTTTGGGTTCTGTTGTGTGAGCAGCTTCTTTTTAAGCATTTCTCTGTCTGTCCACTAGATGGAAGCAGAGAAGTCATTAAAACTGCTCCAGCTGTTCTGCAAATATCCTCAAATCAGAATCACAGCTGCACATAACACAGAGCATTGTTTCCGTGGTAACACCCTTTCTTATTTGATAACTCTGAGAAAGATGAGGAACTACGAAAGGGAAAAAGTCTGACAATTATGTTCCACTCAAGCAGGGGAAATCCAATATGTCCAAAAAAACTACTTAAATGTAGTTGCAGAAAACAAAAATGTTTGCCATTTCACAGTGACTTGACTCCTAGCTTGTGATCTGCATTTTTCTGAGCTGCACTAACTTTGTTAATGAAAGAGGAATGAATGTACCAAGACCACAAAGGATAGAGAGAAAAAGAGCTTTGATATCGATCTTGAGTCTCACAGCAGACCACACACAAGAATGTGGAGTCTCCACGGTGATAACTTTTTTAAGTCCCTGATTTCTAGTCTCTCCTCATGACTGCTTTAGGGACATGACTCTGAGTCACAGCCTTCACCACAGAACAGCCCACTCAGGACCATAACAATCGTTGCTCAATGAATCACTACGCCCGAGGTTTTCATTTTAGGATCATGTGAATCTCAGACAATTAGATACGAATAAAGAAAGTTTATTACACTCATGCCCCAGGTACTCACAGACTGGATTTTGGACTAACATTACTGTGCATTGTTTCAGCCTGTCATTTTCTGAGCATTACTTTAAGAAGAATATTGCAGTATAGGGAATTAGTCACAGTTGCTCTTCGCCTTTTGACAATTCAGCAAAATAATTAAAACTTTTTTACGTATTTGTTATTTGAAGTAGCCTTTAAACTCAAACAGAGGGCAGTGGAATGATTATTTTAATTGTTTATAAAACAAACTTCTGAGTTGGTCTCAAAACAGCGCCATCACTTTGTCTTTTGATTCAGAAATCAGGAGTTAAGGGATGTGTCCCTTTCTTGTTTCAGTTCTCAGCTAAAAACAGAGACAATTTTTTTTATGAAAGATTAAAAAAAAGTGTCTTTTTTTTAAACAAAGCAGCTGTCAGCCAGCAAGATATTCATCAATCTATCTCCTCTCAGTATGATTTTACTTCAACTGTAGCATGAAGTATGACAAAACATAAACATTCACATCTTATAAAGACAGTCTCTAAACTTCCTCATGTCTCCTGCGTGCATAAAAAATGTAAATATACACCATAAGTGGCTGTTAGGATAAAGAGGACATGAACAAAACTACCCAGAACACATTTGTTGCAGAGTCAGTAACCTCGGCCATGAATAATCATCAGCTGTTTGTTGATCGTTTTCTTAGCAACACCAAAGAGACCCAGTGTTTCCTCAAGATTAACTTGGGGAACGAAGAGAGTCATGGGGGGAGAAGGAGGAGTGGTTGGAGAAGAAAGAAGCATTATGAGGGGAGGGATGAAGGGGTGTGGTGAAGTATAAAGCATCTTTAGCATCCATTTCTCCATCACTGTACCTCCTCCAGGACCAACTTGGACTCCCTCGTCTCTTCAATTCTCTACAAGTCAGCTTCGGTGAGTAGAAAATCCATCCAGTGTTTGTTTTCCATTTCTGTATAATGCACCACAGCTTTTCCAGGAGAAAGTTACTCAGAATACAGCAACTTTAATGTCATTTTAGAGAGGTTCATTTGTGTAAAAAAGAAAGTCAGAGTTATCAGCTCATGGTGCATAATATTTCTGAAGAAGAAATGACTTCCCTTCCTCCCTTGTGAAATAAACTTTGCAGCAGCAGACATTGCTCACCTTGCTCTGGTACAAGATATTTGGTCAATTTAAACCTGGAATCTTTTTTTATACTGATGCAATGGATATCCGTGAATCAGCACAAAGCTTTCAGTTTTACTTTAAACTCAAATTTATTAAAATTCAAGACTTTTAAACAGGAGGTTTTCTATGTTTCAACACTTTTTTATTTCATTGTGTAAGAACAATTTGATGTCACAGTTTCTCCAGCTCACCACACCCAAAGACAGAGTGCTAGTCAGAATGTAACCAGAACTGACTCTCTTGGGTTCAGTGATAAAAGAAAAAACACTTTTCAGATTATAATGTTAGAGGAGCAATTGTCACTATAGGGACTTTAGTCAAGTCTTGACCTGCTTCTTTACCTGATTCAACCGAGTTACCTGGAGAGATCGAGCTGTTGCCATAACACTGTCCTGTGTGATCGGCTGAGACTCTGCGTTAGAGACCGGTGACAGAGGGAAATACGAGTGGCTGAGCCCTGGTGGAAACCCAGGGTTTATTTTTATCCCCAGCTCAATGGAAAACTCTGAGAAAAACACTGGTAGAAAGGAAAGCCATGATGTTAGATGCTTCTTTCTGCTTAATTGCTCTTTATGAGTCTATAATAGGCAGAATGTGCTGCATGAACTATTCATTTAGCTCTTTAGTTACACTTTTGAAGTAAATTTATAATAAATCTCTATCTGGAGAGAATTTGTGCACCACTTAAAAATTACCCCACCAAACACTTCAGACATTGAAGGATTTTTCTCCCTTTGATGCAACAATTTCTCCATGATTTGATTTCATTGCATTCTTAAAATAACTTTCCCAAATTTGACCACATTGCCACATGATCTGTTCCAGTGTGCCTCAAAGAAAGCTGGGAGTCAACCTTTAGAAACGTCTAGTGATTGGGGGATGTTTACAGAAAATACAAGGCCTATCTCACTTGAAAATGTGCTTTCATAGTGAGTCACTTTTTAACTATTTTTTCCATTCTACCTCTATTAGATTCAGCCGTCATCATGACTGATCTCAACACAGCCATGTGCCTCATCATCTCCACTTTTGAAAAGTATGCAGGAAAAGAGGGCGACAAACACACCCTGAGCAAATTAGAGCTGAAAGAACTGCTTCAGAATGAGCTTGGAGAATTGCTGGGGGTGAGTGGCGTCTGACCTCTCTCACTCTCTCTAAAGTGGCTCAAAAGTTCATGTACAGATCTAACTCTTTTCTTACCTGCAGAAAGCCAGCGATAAGGCAGCAGTAGACCGCATCTTCGACGACCTGGACTCAAACAAAGACAACAGTGTGGACTTTGCAGAGTTTGGCAAAATGATCTTCTGCCTCACTGTCATGTGCCACGAGTACTTCTGCAAGAAGTAGGGATCTGAGCGCCACCCTGAGGCCAGCTTGGAGAGCTGTCATCCTGTGAAAGAGCTGTCGTAAGAAAAGGAGAAAAAACATGCACTATTTACAAGAATTCACAAAAACATATATATGTTGTACTGACACATGATGAAATAAACTGTTCTTGATTTGTGTACTTTGTGTGTTATTGGGAGCAACATTTGTGCCTGCAGTTGAAGTAGCTCTTCTGTCCTCAAACTGCGGTGAAATAATGATGTATTTCAGGCCATGAAAGGCAAGGGGTTACAGATGTTGCTTCCACTGGATTAAGTTCAGAGTTGGAAGTAACAAAGTACACTCACAGAAACGTTCAATTGCAGAATGACTGCATAACTATTACAGTAATCACATTCCCTAACATTTGTAATTAAATGTTGTATTTCTTTATGGAAAAAAAAAGGAAAAGGGTGGGTCTTATACAGTTGATAGCTGATAGCAGTAAACTTTTATTGTAATGTAGATAAGCAGTCAGTATGTGAACTTCAAAAGTAGCCAGTTTGTCCACACAGACTGAGAGACTCTGATAACATGATCTCACAAAATTTACTGGAAAGTTCTTATTGTGCGTTTTTATTCAGTCATGATAAAAAAAAATAATTGACATGAATGTTAATGTCTCCTGGTGACTTAAAGAGAACAAACAAGACCATAAACAAGAAGACTGATCATTTTAGTGTCTGAAATCACTGAGTCATCAATCGACTGTTTATCCAGCTTTTCTCCACAAATGCCATATTTTGTTGAATGATGCATTAAAAAGGTAAAAAAAAATAAAGAGCAAAATTTGGTTTTATTTTATTGACTGAATTTTGGACAAACATTACTGTGCATTGTTTCAGCCTGTCATTTTAGGAGCATTACTTTAAGAAGAATATTGCAGTATGGGGAATTAGTCACAGTTGCTCTTCGCCTTTTGATTATTCAGCAAAATAATTAAAAGTTATTTAGTATTTGTTATTTGAAGTATGCAAGCCTTTAAACTCAAACAGACGGCAGTGGAATGATTGTTTTGATTGTGTATAAAACAAACTTCTGAGTTGGTCTCAAAACAGCGCCATCACTTTGTCTTTGGATTCAGAAATCAGGAGTTAAGGGATGTGTCACTTTCTTGTTTCAGTTCTCTGCTTAAAAAGAGACAATTTTTTTTATGAAAGATAAACAAAAGTGTCTTTTAAACAAAGCAGCTGTCAGCCAGCAAGGGTTTCGGTCCTTATTTATCAATCCATCCCCTCTCAGTATGATTTTACTTCAACTGTAGCATGAAGTATGATAAAATACAAACATTCACATCGTAAAAAGGCAGCCTCTATAGTTCCTCGCCTCTCCTACATGCATAAAAAATGTAAACATACACCATTAGTGGCTGTAAGAATAGAGAGGACATGAATAAAACTAGCCAGAACACATTTGTTGCAGAGTCAGTAACCCCAGCCATGAATAATCGTCAGCTGTTTGTTGATCGTTTTCTTAGCAACACCAAAGAGACCCAGTGTTTCCTCAAGATTAACTTGGGGAATGAAGAGAGTCATGGGAGGAGAAGGAGGAGTGGTTGGAGAAGAAAGAAGCATCATGAAGGGAGGGATGAAAGGGTGTGGTGAAGTATACAGCATCTTTGGCATCCATTTCTCCATCACTGTACCTCCTCCAGGACCAACTTGGACTCCCTCGTCTCTTCAATTCTCTACAAGTCAGCTTCGGTGAGTAGAAAATCCATCCAGTGTTTGTTTTCCATTTCTGTATAATGCACCACAGCTTTTCCAGGATAAAGTTACTCAGAATACAGCAACTTTAATGTCATTTTAGAGAGGTTCATTTGTGTAAAAAAGAAAGTCAGAGTTATCAGCTCATGGTGCATAATATTTCTGAAGAAGAAATGACTTCCCTTCCTCCCTCGTAAAATAAACCTTGCAGCAGCAGACATTGCTCACCTTGCTCTGGTACAAGATATTTGGTCAATTTAAACCCGGAAATTTCTTTTGTCATTGATGCAATGGATATCGACCTGGACCCGGATTAAGCTGAAGAAAACAACGACGTAATGGAAATCAGTGAATCAGCACAAAGCTTTCAGTTTTACTTTAAACTCAAATTTATTAAAATTTAAGACTTTTAAACAGGAGGTTTTCTATGTTTCAACATTTTATTAATTATATTTTGTAAGAACAATTTGATGCCACAGTTTCTCCAGCTCACCACACCCAAAGACAGAGGGCTCTATTTTCGTGCGCGCCGGTGAGGCGGCGAGCCCCGCACAGTTGTATTTTCGTCTGGCGGAGCCCGGCGTAAGGCCAGTTTGGTATTTTCGTGGACTGAGCCGCACGGAGGCGAGCCGAGATCCGCCAAGCTGGGCGTGGTGGCATGGCAGGGGGAGGTGTAGTCAGAATCAGCAGGCGCAGTGACATTTTCGTGCTCGCCACCGGCGTGTAAAGTGCGCTGAAAGCTCGCCGATTCAAACCTGGTCAGCTTTCAGCGCATGGCGGAACGCAGCTGGTCTAGTAGTATTTTAGTAGACCGGCGGCGTATCGACATGACATTTTCGTGCTCGCCACCGGCGTGTAAAGTGCGCTGAAAGCTCGCCGATTCAAACCTGGTCAGCTTTCAGCGCATGGCGGAACGCAGCTGGTCTAGTAGTATTTTGGTAGACCGGCGGCGTATCGACATACGTCACTGATGCCTCATCGGCAGGTTTCCACAGTGTCAGGCATATTTCAGTGCAATAAATAATCATCATCAACTATTAATCTGAGTCAGCACATACATTTAGATCTATATAGATATATTCTGATCTATATGTGATCTGATGAGCGCGTTTAGCACGCGTTTGGACACACAACCTGACCGAATCAACACAGCTGAAACCGCATCAAACTAAATTAAGTATCTAGTAAATAAACACACATGAAGAAGTTAACAAGATATGTAATTCGTCTCCCTCCTTTTAATCTTCCTCTTCCTCTTATTTCTCGCACAGCTCGACCTGGACACTTCTCCGTGTCCTCTGTCCGTCTTGCTGCTGCTGCGGCTGAACAGATGATTTGTTTCAGTGCTCAGATGCGTTATCTACTTTAAGCCGACATACGGATATTATAATATTCAGTTTTGTGGGCCAAATTTATTTTATATGCCAACATCTATGAAAGAAAGAGCCAGGCCACGGAGTGCGATGCGTCATTTACGCACAGATGGTTCCGATTTTAATGCCATTTTTGGAGTTTATGTTGTGATCTGTGCGCTCAACCCACCTTTGTCACGTGAGGTTTGAATATGAGCAACTTTATGTGAGTGTCTTTATTTGTGGAAAATGGTGTTTGTCTTACTACTGGGTCCAACATTACACACACCAAATCCATCTGTGCTCATATGAGAGAGTGTGGAGGACGCTTGTTGAGGAGCTGCCCTCTGTCGCCATCTTGTGGCATTACTGTCTTAAAACATCTCTTGATCTCTTTGACTACTTCATGAAAATAGCAATACGCCTCGCCTGTGGTGGATTTAAAGGCAAGGAGAGGAGCTTATGTGATTGGTGAAAACAGGTCTCAGCTGTGTTAAATCCACTCCACGCCCTCTCTCCTCCCCGTTTACGACTTATGCTGCTGGGAGGAGCTGACTTAGGGAGGGGGGATACTTAGGCCGGCCTGCGCGGCTCACCAAAATACCAAAATGTGCTTGGGAACGCCTTGTCAGTGCGGCGGATCTGACTGACGCTGCGCTTGCGGCACATCTCCGGTGAGGCACGAAAATAGAGCCCAGAGTGTGAGTCAGAATGTATCCAGAACTGAGCTGACTGGTTCAGCGAAAAAAGAAAAAACACCTTTTCATTAGTCCCCACCTTTAATCAGCTCTGTCTTAAAGCTATGTAAACAAAGCTGAAACTACCTTCCCAGCTATAGACCTCTACAGAATAAACAGGCCTGTCAGAGCAGGAAAAGAGCAATAGTGATGAGTGGATGATGATGGCTGGATTCCATGTAGCTGCTTAAGTCTCAGGGTCCTGGTATTGCACATGATGGCTCGTTGCCACACTGTCATGGCTTGATGTTTCAATCAAATATAACAGATTTGTTATGATGTGTATAACTATTTCAAACATGGTCCTGAAATAAGTCTTCAGGGCTCTATTTTCGTGCATGCCAGCGGCGTGGCGGACCCCGCACAGAAGTATTTTCGTCTGGCGCAGCCCGGCGCACAGCCAGTTTGGTATATTTGAAGACTGAGGCGCACAGAGGTCCACCAAGCTGGGCATGGTGGTGCGGTAGGGGGATGTGTCGATAGAATCAGCTTTCCCAGTGACATTTTTGTGCTCCCTTACTCCCTTGTGAAATAAACCTTGCAGCAGCAGACATTGCCCAGACAGTGCATTCTTAAAATAACTTTCTCAAATTTGACCACATTGCCACATGATCTGTTCCAGTGTGCCTTAAAGAAAGCTGGGAGTCAACCTATAGAAACTTCTAGTGATTGGGGGATATTACAGAAAATACAAGGCCGATCTCACTTGAAAATGTGCTTTCATAATGGGTCACTTTTCACCAAATTTTCCATTCTGCCTCTATTAGAATCAGCTGTCATCATGACTGATCTCACCACAGCCATGTGCCTCATCATCTCCACTTTTCAAAAGTATGCAGGAAAAGAGGGCGACGAAAAATCCCTGACCAAATCAGAGCTGAAAGAACTGCTTCAGAATGAGTTTGGAGATTTGCCGGGGGTGAGTGGCCTCTGACCTCTCTCACTTTCTCTAAACTGGCTCAAAAGTTCATGTACAGCTCTAACTCTTTTCTTACCTGCAGAAAGCCAGTGATAAGGCAGCAGTAGACGGCATCTTCGACGACCTGGACCAAAACAAAGACAAGCGTGTGGACTTTGAAGAGTTTGGCACCTTGATCATCAGCCTCACTTACCTGTGCTACGAGTTCCTCAAAAAGTAGGGATCTGAGCGCCACCCTGAGGCCAGCTTGGAGAGCTGTCATAAGAAAAGGAGAAAAAAACATGCACTATTTACAAGAGTTCACAAAAAATATATATGTTGTAATGACACATGATGAAATAAACAGTTCTTGACTTGTGTACTTTGTGTGTTATTAGGAGCAACATTCGTGAATTCCGTTGATGGCAGCTCCACAAACTCATTATACTCACCCCAAACTTTTGTTGTTAGTTTGTTGACACTGAGTTTAAAGCTCTTCTGTCCTCAAACTGCAGTGAAATAATGACGTATTTCAGGCCATGAAAGGCAAGGGGTTACAGATGTTGCTTCCACTGGATTAAGTTCAGAGTTGGAAGTAACAAAGCACACTCACAGAAACATTTAATTGTTCCTCAAAAAGTAGGGATCTGAGCGCCACCCTGAGGCCAGCTTGGAGAGCTGTCATAAGAAAAGGAGAAAAAAACATGCACTATTTACAATAATTCACAAAAAATATATATGTTGTAATGACACATGATGAAATAAACAGTTCATGACTTGTGTACTTTGTGTGTTATTAGGAGCAACATTCGTGCCTGCAGTTGAAGTAGCTCTTCTGTCCTCAAACTGCGGTGAAATAATGATGTATTTCAGGCCATGAAAGGCAAGGGGTTACAGATGTTGCTTCCACTGGATTAAGTTCAGAGTTGGAAGTAACAAAGCACACTCACAGAAACATTTAATTGAAGAATGACTACATAACTATTACAGTAATCCCATACCCTAACATTTGAAATAAAATGTTATATTTCTTTATGGGAAAAAAAAAAAAAAACGTACATGGGTGGGTCTTATACAGTTGATAGCTGAAACAAACAAACAATCCGCCAAGTTTGCTGCATGAAGCTAACGCTCATGAGTTAACCAGAATGCTAACCAGCTTACATAAGTTGGACTACAGGCTGTGCATGTTGATTAGCTTTAGCTTGCTAGCCAGTCAGGTAGCTGCTGTCATCTTGGGTAGCTTTAGCCCCTTTGCGCAGAGACTGTCCTGGCATGGTTCTTGGGGGACAAAACCAAATGGACAGCGATGTTGACATTGCATTAGGGTTTGTATGATAGTAGGTATGTGTTTCGACCCCGTCCAAAGATGGTGGATGGCGGTGTTGTCACCCTAATTCAGGGTTTTAAAGTCCCTGATTTCTAGTCTCTTCTCATTACTGCTTTAGGGACATGACTCTGAGTCACAGCCTTCACATCAGAACAACCCACTCAGGACCATAACAATCTTTACTTTACTTTACTTTCACTTTATTGTCACTTAGATGCAGTACATACATGTGAAATACTTCCTGCTCGGTAGCTCCATACAGACTAAAAAGCCTACACATATCAAAGAGAATGGCAATGAAAAACAGGCAAACAGGCAACAATAAAACCGGCGGTAAGGAAAATGCAGTAGTGCAAAGTGCAGTGTGGTATTGCACATTTAGATATTACCAATCATTTCTACTGTCAACATTTATTTAGCAGTCTTATAGAGTCTACCCTTTTGGACCTCAGGGGAATGAATAGTCCTTTGTGGGGGTGGGTGGGGTCCTCCATTTTCCCCTGGGCTTTGCTGAGGCAGCGCTGGCTGTAGAGGTCCTCCAGACTGGGCAGCTCACACCCAGTGGTGTTACTGGCAGTTCGGAACCACCCTTCCCAGTGCCTTATGGTTTCTGTCTGTGCAGCTGCCATACCAGGCTGTGAAGCTGAAGGCCAGAAGGCTCTCTATGGTGCCTCTGTAGAAGTCCCTGATGGTGTTGGGTCTAAGGCCAAACTGTTTTAGGCGCCTGAGTCCATATAGGTGCTGTTGGGCCTTCTTTACCACTGCTGTGGTGTGGCAATCCCATGAGAGGTCTGCAGAGGTGTTGACTCCCAGATATTTGAATGTGTCCACCCTCTCCACCGCTGTGCCATTGATGATGATCGGCTGCAGCTCGTCCTCCATCTTCCTCCTGGGGTTGACCACGATCTCCTTGGTCTTGTTGGCTTTTAGGGAGAGGTTGTCACTTGTGCATCGCTGCACCACGTTGGCCACCTTCTCCCTGTAGGCTGACTCATCGCCGCCGGAGACCAGGCCCACCACTACCGTGTCATCGGCGAACTTCACAACGTGGTTTGATGGTCAGTCGCCACGCAGTCGTAGGGGTACAACGAGTACAGGAGAGGGCTGAGGATGCAGCCCTGTGGCGCTCCTATACTGACACACAGTGTGGATGATGTCTGGTCAGCCACTCTTACTGTTTGGGGGCGGTTCGTCAGGAAGCTTTGGATCCATCTGCGCAGCGATGGCCTCCCGCCTAGGTCTCGAAGCTTGCCATCGAGCCCGGATGGTAAGATGGTATTGAAAGCGGAGATGTTGTCCGCAAACAGCATCCTTACATAGGTGCCACTACATTCCAGGTGGGAAAGGGCTGTGTGAAGGACATGAGTGATGGCATCTTCTGTGCGCCTGTTTGCTTGGTAGGCAAACTATAGGGGGTCAAGGCTGGGGGGGAGCATTGGGCATATGAGACCTTTGACCAGGCTCTCAAAACACTTGCTGGCTATGGTAGTGAGGGCCCCCATAGCTTTTATGCCATCGTTGCTCGATGAATCACTGCCCCTGAGGTTTTCCAATGAAATACAAATGAAGAAAGTTTATTACACCCATGCCCCAGGTACACACAGACTGTGGCATGCTTCAGCCTGTCATTTTCTGTGTGTGCGTTACTTTTTAGTTTCGGTTCTCAGCTTAAAAAAAAGACAATGTTATTATGAAAGATAAACAAAAGTGTCTTATACAAAGCAACTGTCAGTCAGCATGGCAATGAAAAACAGGCAAACAGGCAACAATAAAACCGGCGGTCAGGAAAATGCAGTAGTGCAAAGTGCAGTGTGGTATTGCACATTTAGATATTACCCATCATTTCTACTGTCAACATTTATTTAGCAGTCTAATGGAGTCTACCCTTTTGGACCTCAGGGGAATGAATAGTCCTTTGTGGGGGTGGGTGGGGTCCTCCATTATCCCCTGGGCTTTGCTGAGGCAGCGCTGGCTGTAGAGGTCCTCCAGACTGGGCAGCTCACACCCAGTGGTGTTACTGGCAGTTCGGAACCACCCTCCCCAGTGCCTTATGGTTTCTGTCTGTGCAGCTGCCATACCAGGCTGTGAAGCTGAAGGCCAGAAGGCTCTCTATGGTGCCTCTGTAGAAGTCCCTGATGGTGTTGGGTCTAAGGCCAAACTGTTTTAGGCGCCTGAGTCCATATAGGTGCTGTTGGGCCTTCTTTACCACTGCTGTGGTGTGGCAATCCCATGAAAGGTCTGCAGAGGTGTTGACTCCCAGATATTTGAATGTGTCCACCCTCTCCACCGCTGTGCCATTGATGATGATCAGCTGCAGCTCGTCCTCCATCTTCCTCCTGGGGTTGACCACGATCTCCTTGGTCTTGTTGGCATTTAAGGAGAGGTTGTCACTTGTGCATCGCTGCACCACGTTGGCCACCTCCTCCCTGTAGGCTGACTCGTCGCCGCCGGAGACCAGGCCCACCACTACCGTGTCATCGGCGAACTTCACGACGTGGTTTTGATGGTCGGTCGCCACGCAGTCGTAGGGGTACAACGAGTACAGGAGAGGGCTGAGGATGCAGCCCTGTGGCGCTCCTATACTGACACACAGTGTGGATGATGTCTGGTCAGACACTCTTACTGTTTGGGGGCGGTTCGTCAGGAAGCTTTGGATCCATCTGCGCAGTGATGGCCTCCCGCCTAGGCTGAAGCTTGTCATCGAGCCCGGACGGTAAGATGGTATTGAAAGCGGAGATGTTGTCCACAAACAGTATCCTTACATAAGTGCCGCTACGTTCCAGGTGGGAAAGGGCCGTGTGAAGGACATGAGTGATGGCATCTTCTGTGCGCCTGTTTGCTTGGTAGGCAAACTGTAGGGGGTCAAGGCTGGGGGGGAGCATGGGGCATATGAGACCTTTGACCAGGCTCTCAAAACACTTGCTGGCTATGGGAGTGAGGGCCGCCATAGTTTTTATGCCATCGTTTCTCGATGAATCACTGCCCCTGAGGTTTTCCAATGAAATACAAATGAAGAAAGTTTATTACACCCATGCCCCAGGTACTCACAGACTGTGGCATGTTTCATGTCATTTTCTGTGTGTGTGTTACTTTTTAGTTTCGGTTCTCAGCTTAAAAAAAAGACAATGTTATTATGAAAGATAAACAAAAGTGTCTTATACAAAGCAACTGTCAGTCAGCATGGCAATGAAAAACAGGCAAACAGGCAACAATAAAACCGGCGGTAAGGAAAATGCAGTAGTGCAAAGTGCAGTGTGGTATTGCACATTTAGATATTACCCATCATTTCTACTGTCAACATTTATTTAGCAGTCTAATGGAGTCTACCCTTTTGGACCTCAGGGGAATGAATAGTCCTTTGTGGGGGTGGGTGGGGTCCTCCATTATCCCCTGGGCTTTGCTGAGGCAGCGCTGGCTGTAGAGGTCCTCCAGACTGGGCAGCTCACACCCAGTGGTGTTACTGGCAGTTCGGAACCACCCTCCCCAGTGCCTTATGGTTTCTGTCTGTGCAGCTGCCATACCAGGCTGTGAAGCTGAAGGCCAGAAGGCCTTCTATCGTGCCTCTGTAGAAGTCCCTGATGGTGTTGGGTCTAAGGCCAAACTGTTTTAGGCGCATGAGTCCATATAGGCACTGTTGGGCCTTCTTTACCACTGCTGTGGTGTGGCAATCCCATGAGAGGTCTGCAGAGGTGTTGACTCCCAGATATTTGAATGTGTCCACCCTCTCCACCGCTGTGCCATTGATGATGATCGGCTGCAGCTCGTCCTCCATCTGCCTCCTGGGGTTGACCACGATCTCCTTGGTCTTGTTGGCGTTTAGGGAGAGGTTGTCACTTGTGCATCGCTGCACCACGTTGGCCACCTCCTCCCTGTAGGCTGACTCGTCGCCGCCGGAGACCAGGCCCACCACTACTGTGTCATCGGCGAACTTCACGACGTGGTTTGATGGTCGGTCGCCACGCAGTCATAGGGGTACAACGAGTACAGGAGAGGGCTGAGGATGCAGCCCTGTGGCGCTCCTATACTGACACACAGTGTGGATGATGTCTGGTCAGACACTCTTACTGTTTGGGGGCGGTTCGTCAGGAAGCTTAGGATCCATCTGCGCAGCGATGGCCTCCCGCCTAGGTCTCGAAGCTTGCCATCGAGCCCGGATGGTAAGATGGTATTGAAAGCGGAGATGTTGTCCGCAAACAGCATCCTTACATAGGTGCCACTACATTCCAGGTGGGAAAGGGCTGTGTGAAGGACATGAGTGATGGCATCTTCTGTGCGCCTGTTTGCTTGGTAGGCAAACTGTAGGGGGTCAAGGCTGGGGGGGAGCATGGGGCATATGAGACCTTTGACCAGGCTCTCAAAACACTTGCTGGCTATGGTAGTGAGGGCCCCCATAGCTTTTATGCCATTGTTGCTCGATGAATCACTGCCCCTGAGGTTTTCCAATGAAATACAAATGAAGAAAGTTTATTACACCCATGCCCCAGGTACTCACAGACTGTGGCATGTTTCATGTCATTTTCTGTGTGTGTGTTACTTTTTAGTTTCGGTTCTCAGCTTAAAAAAAAGACAATGTTATTATGAAAGATAAACAAAAGTGTCTTAAACAAAGCAACTGTCAGTCAGCATGGCAATGAAAAACAGGCAAACAGGCAACAATAAAACCGGCTGTAAGGAAAATGCAGGAGTGCAAAGTGCAGTGTGGTATTGCACATTTAGATATTACCCATCATTTCTACTGTCAACATTTATTTAGCAGTCTAATGGAGTCTACCCTTTTGGACCTCAGGGGGAATGAATAGTCCTTTGTGGGGGTGGGTGGGGTCCTCCATTATCCCCTGGGCTTTGCTGAGGCAGCGCTGGCTGTAGAGGTCCTCCAGACTGGGCAGCTCACACCCAGTGGTGTTACTGGCAGTTCGGAACCACCCTTCCCAGTGCCTTATGGTTTCTGTCTGTGCAGCTGCCATACCAGGCTGTGAAGCTGAAGGCCAGAAGGCTTTCTATGGTGCCTCTGTAGAAGTCCCTGATGGTGTTGGGTCTAAGGCCAAACTGTTTTAGGCGCATGAGTCCATATAGGCACTGTTGGGCCTTCTTTACCACTGCTGTGGTGTGGCAATCCCATGAGAGGTCTGCATAGGTGTTGACTCCCAGATATTTGAATGTGTCCACCCTCTCCACCGCTGTGCCATTGATGATGATCGGCTGCAGCTCGTCCTCCATCTGCCTCCTGGGGTTGACCACGATCTCCTTGGTCTTGTTGGCGTTTAGGGAGAGGTTATCACTTGTGCATCGCTGCACCACGTTGGCCACCTCCTCCCTGTAGGCTGACTCGTCGCCGCCGGAGACCAGGCCCACCACTACCGTGTCATCGGCGAACTTCACGACGTGGTTTGATGGTCGGTCGCCACGCAGTCATAGGGGTACAACGAGTACAGGAGAGGGCTGAGGATGCAGCCCTGTGGCACTCCTATACTGACACACAGTGTGGATGATGTCTGGTCAGACACTCTTACTGTTTGGGGGCGGTTCGTCAGGAAGCTTAGGATCCATCTGCGCAGCGATGGCCTCCCGCCTAGGTCTCGAAGCTTGCCATCGAGCCCGGACAGTAAGATGGTATTGAAAGCGGAGATGTTGTCCGCAAACAGCATCCTTACATAGGTGCCGCTACGTTCCAGGTGGGAAAGGGCCGTGTGAAGGACATGAGTGATGGCATCTTCTGTGCGCCTGTTTGCTTGGTAGGCAAACTGTAGGGGGTCAAGGCTGGGGGGGAGCATGGGGCATATGAGACCTTTGACCAGGCTCTCAAAACACTTGCTGGCTATGGGAGTGAGGGCCGCCATAGTTTTTATGCCATCGTTTCTCGATGAATCACTGCCCCTGAGGTTTTCCAATGAAATACAAATGAAGAAAGTTTATTACACCCATGCCCCAGGTACTCACAGACTGTGGCATGTTTCAGCCTATCATTTTCTGTGTGTGTGTTACTTTTTAGTTTCGGTTCTCAGCTTAAAAAAAAGACAATGTTATTATGAAAGATAAACAAAAGTGTCTTAAACAAAGCAACTGTCAGTCAGCATGGCAATGAAAAACAGGCAAACAGGCAACAATAAAACCGGCTGTAAGGAAAATGCAGTAGTGCAAAGTGCAGTGTGGTATTGCACATTTAGATATTACCCATCATTTCTACTATCAACATTTATTTAGCAGTCTAATGGAGTCTACCCTTTTGGACCTCAGGGGGAATGAATAGTCCTTTGTGGGGGTGGGTGGGGTCCTCCATTATCCCCTGGGCTTTGCTGAGGCAGCGCTGGCTGTAGAGGTCCTCCAGACTGGGCAGCTCACACCCAGTGGTGTTACTGGCAGTTCGGAACCACCCTCCCCAGTGCCTTATGGTTTCTGTCCGTGCAGCTGCCATACCAGGCTGTGAAGCTGAAGGCCAGAAGGCTCTCTATGGTGCCTCTGTAGAAGTCCCTGATGGTGTTGGGTCTAAGGCCAAACTGTTTTAGGCGCCTGAGTCCATATAGGTGCTGTTGGGCCTTCTTTACCACTGCTGTGGTGTGGCAATCCCATGAGAGGTCTGCAGAGGTGTTGACTCCCAGATATTTGAATGTGTCCACCCTCTCCACCGCTGTGCCATTGATGATGATCGACTGCAGCTCGTCCTCCATCTTCCTCCTGGGGTTGACCACGATCTCCTTGGTCTTGTTGGTGTTTAGGGAGAGGTTGTCACTTGTGCATCGCTGCACCACGTTGGCCACCTCCTCCCTGTAGGCTGACTCATCGCCGCCGGAGACCAGGCCCACCACTACCGTGTCATCGGCGAACTTCACGACGTGGTTTGATGGTCGGTCGCCACGTAGTCGTAGGGGTACAACGAGTACAGGAGAGGGCTGAGGATGCAGCCCTGTGGCGCTCCTATACTGACACACAGTGTGGATGATGTCTGGTCAGCCACTCTTACTGTTTGGGGGCGGTTCGTCAGGAAGCTTTGGATCCATCTGCGCAGCGATGGCCTCCCACCTAGGTCTCAAAGCTTGCCATCGAGCCCGGATGGTAAGATGGTATTGAAAGCGGAGATGTTGTCCGCAAACAGCATCCTTACATAGGTGCCGCTACGTTCCAGGTGGGAAAGGGCCGTGTGAAGGACATGAGTGATGGCATCTTCTGTGCGCCTGTTTGCTAAACTGCAGGGGTCAAGGATGGGGGGGAGCATGGAGCATATGAGACCTTTGACCAGGCTCTCAAAACACTTGCTGGCTATGGGAGTGAGGGCCGCCATAGTTTTTATGCCACCGTTGCTCGATGAATCACTGCGCCTGAGGTTTTTCAATTAGATAAAAATGAAGAAAGTTTATTACGCCCATGCCCCAGGTACTCACAGACTGTGGCATGTTTCAGCCTGTCATTTTCTGTGTGTGTGTTACCTTTTAGTTTCGGTTCTCAGCTCAAAAAAAAGACAATGATATTATGAAAGATAAACAAAAGTGTCTTAAACAAAGCAACTGTCAGTCAGCAAGGGTTTCTGTCCTCATTCATCAATCTATCCCCTCTCAGTATGATTTTACTTCAACTGTAGCATGAAGTATGACAAAACATAAACATTCACATCGTATAAAGACAGTCTCTTAACTTCCTCACATCTCCTGCGTGCATAAAAATGTAAACATGCACTATTAGTTGCTGTTAGAATAAAGAGCACATGAATAAAACTACCTAGAACACATTTGTTGCATATTCAGTAACCTCGGCCATGAATAATCATCAGCTGTTTGTAAATCGTTTTCTTAGCAACACCAAAGAGACCCAGTGTTTCCTCAAGATTAACTTGGGGAACGAAGAGAGTCATGGGGGGGACAAGGAGGAGTGGTTGGAGAAGAAAGAAGCATCATGAAGGGAGGGATGAAGGTGTGTGGTGAAGTATAAAGCATCTTTAGCATCCATTTCTCTATCACTGTACCTCCTCCAGGACCAACTTGGACTCCCTCGTCTCTTCAATTCTCTACAAGTCAGCTTCGGTGAGTAGAAAATCCATCCAGTGTTTGTTTTCCATTTCTATATAATGCACCACAGCTTTTCCAGGAGAAAGTTACTCAGAATACAGCAACTTTAATGTCATTTTAGAGAGGTTTATTTGTGTAAAGTTATCAGCTCATGGGGCACAACATTTCTGAAGAAGAAATGACTTCCCTTCCTCCCTTGTGAAATAAACCTTACAGCAGCAGACATTGCTCACCTTGCTCTGGTACAAGATATTTGGTCAATTTAAACCTGGAATCTTTTTTTATACTGATGCAATGGATATCCGTGAATCAGCACAAAGCTTTCAGTTTTACTTTAAACTCAAATTTATTAAAATTCAAGACTTTTAAACAGGAGGTTTTCTATGTTTCAACACTTTTTTATTTCATTGTGTAAGAACAATTTGATGTCACAGTTTCTCCAGCTCACCACACCCAAAGACAGAGTGCTAGTCAGAATGTAACCAGAACTGACTCTCTTGGGTTCAGTGATAAAAGAAAAAACACTTTTCAGATTATAATGTTAGAGGAGCAATTGTCACTATAGGGACTGTAGTCAAGTCTTGACCTGCTTCTTTACCTGATTCAACCGAGTTACCTGGAGAGATCGAGCTGTTGACACAACACTGTCCTGTGTGATCGGCTGAGACTCTGCGTTAGAGACCGGTGACAGAGGGAAATACGAGTGGCTGAGCCCTGGTGGAAACCCAGGGTTTATTTTTATCCCCAGCTCAATGGAAAACTCTGAGCAAAACACTGGTAGAAAGGAAAGCCATGATGTTAGATGCTTTTTTCTGTTTAATTGCTCTTTATGAGTCTATAATAGGCAGAATGTGCTGCATGAACTATTCATTTAGCTCTTTAGTTACACTTTTGAAGTAAATTTATAATAAATCTCTATCTGGAGAGAATTTGTGCACCACTTAAAAATTACCCCACCAAACACTTCAGACATTGAAGGATTTTTCTCCCTTTGATGCAACAATTTCTCCGTGATTTTAATTCATTGCATTCTTAAAATATCTTTCTCAAATTTGACCACATTGCCACATGATCTGTTCCAGTGTGCCTCAAAGAAAGCTGGGAGTCAACCTTTAGAAACTTCTAGTGATTGGGGGATGTTTACAGAAAATACAAGGCCTATCTCACTTGAAAATGTGCTTTCATAGTGAGTCACTTTTTAACTATTTTTTCCATTCTACCTCTATTAGAATCAGCCGTCATCATGACTGATCTCAACGCAGCCATGTACCTCATCATCTCCACTTTTCAAAAGTATGCAGAAAAAGATGGCGACAAACACACCCTGAGCAAATCAGGGCTGAAAGAACTGCTTGAGAATGAGCTTGGAGATTTCCTGGACGTGAGTGGCGTCTGACCTCTCTCACTCTCTCTAAACTAGCTCAAAAGTTCATGTACAGATCTAACTCTTTTCTTACATGCAGGATGCCAGTGATAAGGCAGAAGCAGAAAACATCTTCAAAGACCTGGACGAAAACAAAGACAACAGTGTGGACTTTCTAGAGTTTGGCAGGTATCTCATCCTCTACACTTCCTTATTCCACCAGGTCGCCGTCTTGGTTGAAGCGATCTGAGCGCCACCCTGAGGCCAGCTTGGAGAGCTGTCATAAGAAAAGGAAAAAAAAACATGCACTATTCACAAGAATTCACAAAAATATTTGTTGTCATGACACATGATGAAATAAACTGTTCTTGACTTGTGTACTTTGTGTGTTATTGGGAGCAACATTCGTGCCTGCAGTTGATGGCAGCTCCACAAACTCATTATACTCACCCCAAACTTTTGTTGTTAGTTAGTTAACACTGAGTTTAAAGCTCTTCTGTCCTCAAACTGCAGTGAATTAATGACGTATTTCAGGCCATGAAAGGCAAGGGGTTACAGATGTTCTTTTTACTGGATTATGATAAGAGGTGGAAGCAACAAAGCACACAAAGAATAACTCAATTAAATTATGACTGCACAATTTTTAAATTAATCACGTACCATAACATCTGAAATAAAGTTTTATATTTCTTTATGGAAAAAAAAAAAAAACATATGGGTGGTCTTATACAGTCAATAGCTGACAGCAGTACACATTTACTGTAATGTAGATAAGCAGTCAGTTTGTGAACTTCAAAAGTAACCAGTTTATCCAATTGAGACTTTCCCCAAAAGCTAAACACCAATGTTAAATGCCAAGTTTTATAGCAGTATGAAATAAGTTTACAGCCTAGTTTAAAAAAGTCTGAAGGATTCATTTCTACGTTTGTACATTTGACTTTTAGTATATTTTATGGGTTATTTCAAGGCTTACTATTATACACAGATATTTTTGTCAGGTTCAGGAAGATAACATAAAAATAAAACAAATTAATGTTCTTTGAAAAGAGTTTTTAACTATCACAAATAAGGAAGGAAGAAAGAAAGAAAAAAGAAAGAAAGGGGTAGAAGCAGACACACAGACAGTGAGACTCTGATAACGCAATCTCACAAATTTTACTGGAAAGTTCTTATGGTGCGTTTTTATTCAGTCATGATAAAAAAAATAATTGGCATGAATGTAAATGTTTCCCGATAACTTATAGACAACAAACAAGACCATCAACAAGAAGACTGATCGTTTTGGTGTCTGAAATCACTAAGTCATCGATCGACTGTTTATCCAGCTCCACATATTGAAATATATGCAGATACACGAGTGAAAGACAAAACTATGATTGCCTTGATGTAGTGATCTGAAATATGGAAAGTGTCTCATCTTACCCCACTTTCCCTATTGGTGGTGTATTATATTGACAGGTTTTCTTAATGTTTTGTACTTTTCGTCATGGCTGGCGGGTAAATCATTGGATTTTATTATCTAACTCCAATTGCCTATTAACAAGTTAATTTACATTATATTTTTAAAAAGTATGGTTATTTTGCATTAATTTGGTCTGTACTCTTGATTGCTTGTTCCCATATTCAAAGCAAAAAGTTCCCCTCGTGTCTGATGTAGGAACACACTAAACAACATAGTATCATCAGTGACATTTAACTCCTAATTATGCTTAAATGATTAGTAGTTTTCTGGGAAAGATGAAGGCTTGTACACATACCAGACTGAGGGTGACGCCTCCGGGAGGTCACGTTGAGAGGCCGTGTCTCGTGACGCTACCGAGGGGCGGGTTATCAACAACAGAGTCCGTGTCTGTGGAGCAGCTAACGTTGTTGAGGGACAGAGCTCGAGTGTTGTTTTGAATTTGCTCGAAGATACCGACTTGGAAAAAGGGGGGCACAGGCCTGTGGATAAGATGGCGGATGTAGGAGGCGACGAATCTCGGACCACTCTCCCCTCGGCATCCCGTAACGGTCCTGTGGTCGGTTCGTCGTCTGCGGGCACGGCGGGCCAGAACGCCGCCGCGGTGGTAACGTCAGGTCCGCGGATGGTGAGGATCGTCAAGTCGGAGTCCGGCTACGGTTTCAACGTTCGCGGTCAAGTCAGCGAAGGGGGACAGCTTCGGAGCATCAACGGGGAACTCTACGCGCCTCTTCAGCATGTCAGCGCTGTTTTACCCGGGGGTGCTGCTGACCGAGCCGGGATAGCGAAGGGGGACAGGATCCTGGAGGTGTAAGTTAAGCCACGGAGCTAGCAAGTGAGGCTAGCTACCCGGTGTAGCCCGTTTTGAAGCCATTTAATAAAGCATGTGTTAACATTAGCCACCCTCAAGGTAACACTACGTCACCTGTCCGTCCTCACAACAAAAGTGTCCCCTGACCTTTCTAACTAGTTGTTTGTCCACTTGAGGAGTTATCTGACCAAACAAACCATCCGCCAAGTTTGCTGCATGAAGCTAACGCTCATGAGTTAACCAGGAGGCTAACCAGCTTACATAAGTTGGACTACAGGCTGTGCATGTTGATTAGCTTTAGCTTGCTAGCCAGTCAGGTAGCTGCTGTCGTCTTGGGTAGCTTTAGCCCCTTTGCGCAGTGACTGTCCTGGCATGGTTCTTGGGGGACAAAACCAAATGGACAGCGATGTTGACATTGCATTAGGGTTTGTATGATAGTAGGTGTGTGTTTTGACCCTGTCCAAAGACGGTGGATGGCGGTGTTGTCACCCTAAATTCAGCATCATATGTGCGTCTTCTTTGGAGAGTCTCACAAGCTGATTTACATGACACCGTTCAGATGCTGCTTTTTGTCCATATTTTATATATTTTTTCATATTTTTCTATAAACAGACATACAACTTCCAAACATAAACCCCTTCCCCAAGGCCCTTGAACAAAATATAAATTAAACAGAAAAATACCAAAACAAGAATAGTGACCTCTTCTTATAAGTTCAGAAAATTAATGTTTTGAGCATGTTTTAAAATGATTGCAACTATCCAATACAACTTAAGATGTATCACTGAACTCAACTTAATTTTATTTGTAAAGCACTTTAAAACAACCACAGCTAAACAAAGTGCTGTACATAAATAGACAAAACAACGCAGACGTGAAAAAAAGCAATTAAAACAATGGATAAAATAAAAGCAGATATTAAAAGGTAAAATGTAGTTTCAATGTTTTTGATCTAAAAACAATAGAAACAAATAACTAAAAACAAACCATTAAACACTAAAACAGGAGCCAAGTCTCATGCAGTCAAAAATGGTTTTTAAGACGAGTTTTAAAAAAACTGAAAGGGAAATTCTATAAAGGGACTCCACGTGAGGGGGAAGTTTCTGTCAGATACATATTTGGTATCTCAGTTTCTCTAAAGGTAGAAATGATAGAACATCCCTCAACCATTGTAGAAATGAAGGAGCTGAGTTGGCTCTCCGGTTAAAAAGTATGAGTCTGCGTACAAGCAGGGAAGCAAATGCCAGAGCATTTGCCTGCAAACTTGAGACTTTGCAGCCTGGAGGAATGGCTGTGTAATAGTCAGGTGTTATAGTCGTTATTTGCTATTTTTGTACTTGAGTGGCTTTCAACATGTGTTTTAACTTGCTCGAACTGTCTTCTTATTCCACTTAAAGACAGTGAAACTTTCCATAAATTACATATTAATGAAGTCTGAGCATGGATGTCCTTACAAAGTCTATTCAGCCTCTTTTGCTGGTGGATCTGTCATGTTGTCATTGAATTATTGGTGAATGATAACAGTCATAGAGTTGCCAGCCTTGGTAGAAAGGATTTGTATGTTCTGGAAAGGATAAATCTGATAAAATCTCACTGTAAATTACATTAGAAGCATATTTACGTAATGTTTTTTTTTATTGAAGGTTAAACTTAGAATAAGGGAGAAGAGAAAGTACAGAAAAGGGAACAAAAGCTTGCTGAGGCATCAAAAGGGATTGAAGCAAACCTGTGTTTACCCTGCTGTTGCATTTCTCTGACTTCGGTCATATGACAGGGCCAGTGCTCAACATGTGACTTATTAACCAGCTTTGCTTTATTGCAACAACTAGAAAACCTGTAGTAGAGTGTGTCTTCCATACGTCAGCGTTTTACTTCTAAGTTTTATGATCTAGGAAAGGGAGAAAATGCTGCTTCAGTGATTGTATCAAGCCAGTGTGTGTCATGGTGTTTATTGAACGACTCTGCTGCCACACCACCTGAATATTGTTTAGTACATCAGATTTCTCAAGGTCTGCTTTGGAAAGAAACTAAATGAAAAAATAAGCCCTCTGTGCCAGGAGTTTGTGTAAAAGGCTTTTTACTGTAAAATCTAACAATCTCTCAAGCGGTAAATGTCTGTTCAAACCAATAATTTCAGCTAACATAATATTTTAATAACAGTCTTCCCTTGTTACTTTAAGTTGGGATGCTTTGTAGGAGGGCACACTAACTCTTTTGGGATTTGCAGACTCAACTTTGATCTAAGTTTTTAATTTATAAGATCATAAATGAACATAAAAGACAGCTAGGCTTTGCTGTGTTTCTGTTTAGTCTAATAATACTGTGATGGGATCAGAGTAGCTTCAGCTTTGATCACATTTTTTGTATCCCATTGTTGACTCAGTAGTTTCTCACAGGTGGCATTCATTACATTTTTATCCACTGTAATATAAAGATATTCTGTAGATCACATATAGAGATGCGGCATGTAAGGGAACAGACCTATGCCTGGACTCCTGCTTGCTCCCTCCTGTCCTGTGTCTATCCTGCTGTTTCACATAGGCAGATTAGCAGAGACACCTGATGCCTGTGCCATCTGGCCTCAGCAAAGCCAAGAGGAGAGGTGTGTCACGCCAGCATAGAAAAGGGAGACATCAAAGCTGGCATGGATGTACTAAACACCCCGAAACTGTGCTGCTCATTTTGACTCTCTGCTGTGACATTACGCGTACACAACTGACAACCTTTACATGAAAAAGATAATTCAGTGGTTTTTAGGTGCGCCAGCATTACATTGACTCCCAGTAACAAAATATTTGGATCAGTGCTTCCCTGATTTGTAATTATTACAGGAGATGAATTTCAAGTGTTTTTGAAAGCTGCATCACTTCAGTGTGCTGAACTGATTTCACACCTTACCAGCATGACATCCTACTTGGGTTATTGCTAAAGTAGAACTGTTTCCTTTGTTTTTAGGTGTTAAATCACCCACCGTTTAAAAATCCAATTTAATCATCTGTAAAACAGTTTGGATGAAAGTATTGTCTTAATTTCTTTTTACAGATTTATTTATTTTGTTTCTCCTAACACCTTTCCTTTCCCTCTCTTTCCCACCAGTAATGGAGTGAGTGTAGAAGGTGCCACTCATAAGCAGGTGGTGGACCTGATCCGAGCCGGGGAGAAGGAGCTGGTTCTGGCTGTGCTGTCTGTGCCGGCTCAGGAGGCTGAGGGCCTGGAAGGAGGAGAGGACATCCAGCCGAACTACGACTACAGCGACAAGCAGGCAGTGCCCATTTCCATCCCGACATACAAACATGTAGAGCAGCACTCCGAGAGGTTTGTGGTGAGTATCCTTCTCTTGCTATTTGCACTTATCTAAGTATTATCTCCTTTTAAGTAGATAGGCTGAGGCAAGATAGCAAATCTGGATGTACTGTAAGTATATGTAACCGACTTTCATGCACTAATCCGTTTGTCCCGTCTCTGTGTCGATTGCCATAGGTGTACAATGTGTACATGTCAGGCAGACAGCTTTGCTCAAAGCGCTACAGAGAGTTCGCCATCCTCCACCAGAACCTAAAGAGAGAGTTTTCCAATTTTAACTTCCCCAAACTCCCCGGTAAATGGCCCTTCTCCCTGTCCGAACAGCAGCTAGACGCTCGCCGCAGAGGGCTGGAGGAATATCTGGAGAGAGGTACGCCGATTTGGAGAAGTTTGGAGCGTTTTGACGTTGACAAAGAGAGCAGACTTTGGGATAATCAGCTCATTCATTCAAGCCCCATATTCAAAAGCTGACGATCAAATATGAGAAGCTCTTCTGTAAAAGCCATAAAAACCAAATAAGGAGTAATAAAGATATCATGCTGTTAAAATAGATGATAGACTAAACGAGAGATGTTGTTTTTAATGTATGACTTTGAACACAGGGTACAGGAAACGTGACATTTGACTGTGCTCTTGTTTATTTGATTTACTTGAGCTACCACACCCCCCTCTCTCTCTCTCTATCTAAGCATCTTTCTTTGTTCTGCATTGTCTCTAGTTTGCTCTGTGCGGGTGATTGGGGAGAGTGACATCATGCAGGAGTTTCTCTCTGAATCAGATGAGGTATGCAGCTCCTTTATACTACTTGTACTACTTGGTTTTAAGTGTGCAGAGATTCCCTGTGTCAGTTTGAGTATCTCTGAGTCCATCTTTTGCTTGTCAGACAGGTACAGTACATCAATCTCAAACTCTACTCTGTACTGTCTTAAAATGTTTGATTGAGTCGTAGCTTTCTTAGTCAATTGTTAAAGTGCTGCACGGACTTGATTTTGAGCATATTTCAGGCCGAGTTTGGGTAATTAAAATCTCATGATGAAATAATGAATAAATCTGTTGAACTGCCTTCGGTGTAAACAAAGGAGGCAGTTTGTCACAAACAAGCACCAGCAGTTAAGGCAGTAAAATGTGATAACTTGACAGAATCTCGCAGCACAAAAGGTCTGCCAGGACTCACTGGAGCCAAAACAATCCAACAATAATTGCATTGCCTTTGTAGCACTTTTGAGCAATGACACATAATGTGGAATTAATGCGGCACTTGAGGAGGATTAGGATTTCTAACGGAGCGGAGTTGTGGTTTAGTTACATCTTGTTTATCGGCCTGTGTGTGTGTGTATGTTGGTTTTAATCCAGGAGTACTTTCTAGTGATTCAAAGCAAACTCTTTGGCACAAGTGCAAACACGGGTTAATGTGGCTTTGCAGCTTTTGTCATTCTGTGTCGGTTTCTTGTGCAGAACTACAATGGGGTGACGGATGTAGAGCTGCGGATAGCCCTGCCAGACAAGACCACCATCTCTGTCAGAGTCCGCAAGAACAGCACCACAGACCAGGTTTACCAGGTAGGAACACTAGCTGGGATGATTCTGTCAGACAGATATAACGTACACTTTGTTGGCCTGTTGTGTTAGTGTTTTGTATTATGTATTTTTGTGTTAAACATTGTGATTCAAACGTAAACACATATTTTTTCTGTTAATCTACTTTCTCTCACTCCTCCTGCAGGCGTTAGTGTTGAAGGTTGGAATGGACAGTATTATGGCGAGCTACTTTGCCCTGTTTGAAGTCATCAACCACACCTTCAGTAAGATCTGCTTCTCATGTTTTTGAGTGTTTCGCTTCAAAATTCCCACAACGTTTCCACATCAACTCTCTGTTTAATCTGAAAACCCTCATGGGGGTTACATCATTGCGCGACCTCCTATTTTCTAAATAAAGACCCGTGTCACACCACTAGTGAGTTAACTTCATCGGGCCTGGGGGTGTGTGAGTGTGTGTGCGGTTTTGAACAGCTAGGCCAGGTAATTTGGTGCAGCCTGGAATTTCTTTTAATGACTCAACAGACACTTGCCCTCCTTTTTGTCCCTCCTCTCATCCCTCGCTTTCTTTTCTGTGATTACTTTCAGTGCGAAAGCTGGCGCCTAATGAGTTTCCCCACAAGCTTTATGTGCAGAATTACACGTCGGCAGTGCCGGGGACTTGCTTGGCGCTCCGCAAATGGCTCTTCAGCTTCCAGGAGGAGGAGTTGCTAAGAGACAACCCACTGGCACTGCACTATTGCTTTCACCAGGTAATAACGATAAGTGAACCCCCCTTGCTGTGGACTTAAGAAAACTCTGCACAAAATCCCATCATGTTTTTCCCTCCAGGGTTTATATTATCCCTTCTGTAATGAAAGAGTTTAAACTTATTGGTGGTAGTCGTGGACTTTTGGACATGGATAATTTATAATCCTTTTTTTCATAATCAAGTCGAGGAAATCAGAATCAGAACGAAGTTAATACATACAGACAGAAATGCTCTGGGGAAAATCAAAATGAAAAGACAGAAACAGAGAGCTCTGCTGTCTACAAACTGGAAACTTGCAAACACTTCATCCAAGTTCCTATCAATCTCATGTAGTCCACTGCCCAGAAAACCAAAAGTGACCATCTTTCTCCACATGTATCATATGAAACACCACAAATCATTTACAGGTTAATCAAATCAAGTCAGGAGTACGGAGAGTTGTAAAATTTCAAAGTCTGAACTGACCTTTACTCCAGTTCAAGCCAATCTAAATCAAAATATCAAGCTACAATGAATCAGGAAGTCCTACGAATGCCGCTCTGGATGAAAACAAATAGTCTTGTATGTTGAAATGTCACAGCTCACAGGTTCAGGTAACTTTGAACCGTCATTTACTATAGGACAGGCTCACTGTCACATATAGTTCTAAGTACGAACTGGAAAAACAAAATTCTAATGCAAATGCACTTAAATTCCCCCAGCAGCAGTGTACATAGCTGTTCGATTATCATTCTTTAAAATAGGTTTCATCATCACAACAACTTGTTTTACACAAAATTTCATCAAATAAATAATTACAGTTGAAGCATTGGTTAAAGAGTAAAGTGTACTAAGAAGAAACTTCTCTTTTGGTTGTTTATGGACACTCAGAGCAAAATATCCCATTGTATTTTCACTGGATAACCCTTTTTGTGCAGTGAACTCATGATAAATGGTGTTGTATCTCTTCTTATCCACCCAACCCCCCCTGTCTGTCCAGGCATTGGAAGATGTGAAGAAGGGATTCATAAAAACAGAGGACAAATCCTACCAGCTGCAGAAGCTGGCAGAGCAGCGCAAGATGGCCACGGTCAGTCCAACAGACCAGTCTTTGTTCAGGGAGGGGGTTTGGGTGACTACTCTTTTTGCCTGCTGACCAGAGCCGTCACCAAAATGTTACCAAATAGAAAAATCAGAGACCTGCTAACAATACAGAGATCGGCCCTGAACTGCAGAGGCATGCTTTCTTTGTGTCGCTGCTATCAACCTGGTGTTATCTTTTCAAGGTTTTAAACCGAAGGAGAAACTCTGATTTTTCCAAATGTTGACAGCATTATAGTTCAGAAAATGAGAGTTGAAGGTGTAGCGTTTGATAGACCAGAGACTGAAGGAAGAAGTACGAGGGTGATAATTTGCTTATTCTCAAATTGTTTAACTTTGAAGTCTCTTGAAGTCCAAATCTGCTGTGGTCAAATTGTTGTGACTGTGTAACAAAAACCCTAAAATAACTGTGCCATTAAGTCTCATAGATCACATTCAATTTTTTATTCTAAAGACTTTATTTATTTTCTTTCCAGCAGTATCAGTTTTCACAGCCCAAAACTGTCCATCAAAGTGGCAATTTTTCTCCCACCTGAAATCCTCAGGTCCTCAGCGGCGAGCGTTTGGATTCGCCACATTTTATCAGCCGAGAAGCTTATATTTGGGCACCAGATATGTAAATACAGCAGAAGGTATTATTTTGGCATAAGAAAGAACATTTGCGCTGGAGGACGGATAGAGGACACTGCCAGTCTTGTATGGGAGAGGAAACGCGTCGGCAGTTCGCACTGTTCATTTCTCTTCTGCTATTTAAACACCTCCGCTCTAGTGGCGTCGGACAGCTGGGTAAAACGTGACAGTGGTGAAAAGTTCAGCAATTTCTCAACTCAGGAGAACCAGAAAAATGCACTCGGCACAGAATAGAGACTGAGTCGTTTGTCATGCCTTTGTGTTGGATAAAATGTGCAGAATTCAGAAAAAATGCTAACTCCAGGCTTTTGTTAGTACACCTCGAACAATACTGTATGACTGCTGGTGAGAAGTCGGAGTAGGGGTTGCATACCAAACTTGGCTGATACTGATGTGTGCATTCGTCTTGCTTGTATATCAGTACCTGAGTCTGTTGCGGACATGTGAGGGCTACAATGAGGTCTCGTTCCCCCACTGCTCCTGTGACTCCAGGAGGAAGGGACACGTTATCACAGCTATCAGCATCCATCACTTCAAACTGCACGCGTGTACCGAGGACGGCACCCTGGAGGTGAGCGTTGGTCTGCTCTGGTTTGACAAGATGAAGACACAGATTACCACTTTGTGAGGTATTATGTTTGTTTTTTTTACCTTTCTCAGAATCAGGTGATTGCGTTTGAGTGGGGGGAGATGCAGCGCTGGGACACGGATGAGGAGGGGATGGCCTTCTGTTTCGAGTACGCCAGAGGAGAGAAGAAACCTCGCTGGGTCAAGATCTTCACTCCATATGTAAGAAAACCCACACGGGGACACATTTCTCTTTAAATGTTATCAAAGCAGTGCAGAGGAGATATGGACAAACTATGAAAATGTTAACTCTCACGGTGACTCTGCACCGCCTGTGTGAATTCAGACATTAAAGGGCTGAAAAACATTCCTCTTTGCTGTTTCCCCTCCCAGTTTAACTACATGCACGAGTGCTTTGAGCGGGTCTTTTGTGAGCTGAAGTGGAGGAAACAGGTAAGGACCACTCCTTTCCTCTCTCTCGTTCTGGGAAGCACATGACGCAACACCAAGTTCGAAACACAATACAGTTAGCCTCCTACATGTTCTGTTTCGCAGCCTGTTGCGTAACGTTTTTAATTTTATCTCCTCTGTTTTCTTATTGATGTGTTTTTGTCAGGTTGAAGAAGAGGCATCTGACAAAGACAACAAAAACTGCAGCAACAACGGTAAACAGCGAGCGTTTTGTTGATTTCTCTGTTCGGGGTAGAAGCGATAAAACTGCTTGTAACACCGTTGATCGAACAAGCACCAAAGAGTGAAAGACTGGATTTTATCTGGGGCGAATCATGAAGAAATATGTATTCAGATGAGGTTCTGTGTGCTGCTGTGAATGACAGCACCTATCAAGCAGCATGAATTATGGAAATTTCTATCTGAGAGAAACTAAAAGGGCAAGGACAGGGAGAGGATTTCAAGTATGCTAATTTATTTTGTAACTGTGAGTTAAAGGCTCAAATATATCTCTGCGTTTTACTCAATTATAAGACCCGTTCACTGTCATTAAATCACTTCCTGCACTGAAACTGATGCACATAGATACGCTTGCATATGCATTTTATAGACAGTTATCCCGAGCTTCTGAGCGTACCCAGTAAAATGTAATCACTCCTCCGGTGCTATCACAGTACTGTGAGCTGATATACGGTATATTGATGCATTTGTCAAGCTCAGAGAAAGGTGTGCAGGGTAGATGCACGGGGAGACATGTGACTCACTATCAGAGCCATCTCTAAGGAGGATGTGGAAACTGTCTGCCCCATGTGAGGCAACACGAGACCAGCCGTACAAGTATGTGGACCGACAACTACTTGCATGAGGGCGAGCGAGTAACTTTCTCACAACAAAGGAGAAGCCGAGGAAAATATGGCGTTGTAGATTGAGAGCTGCCAGTGGAAAAGCAGCTCAAGGATGTTTTAAAGTGCCCGATTTATTGAGACATAGAATAATCCATATCTTGTTGTTGCAGTAATTTTAATAGACGCGTGATATGCGAGGTAAGATAGCCCGTCATCCAGACTTGTCCCCTGAACCCCTCTCTCTGTTCCAGAGTATCTGCCTCCTCTGGAGACACAGCAGAAGGGATGGCGTCACCTAGGGGGGGAGATCGCAACTTCCTAAAACCATCTCTCACCGCTCAAAAGTAGAACTGGTCCACTCGCATCATCACAGCCACCCCCAGAGAGCGCCCATTGACAAACACAGAACTGAGTGACGGACTGAGGTGATGCATGTCCCAGAAACAAACTGGAAGCGACCGATTTTTTTTTTTTTTGGAAAAACTGGAATAGCAACACTAAACCGACCCCAGGGACACACACAGCAAGAAGAGCGATGAAGGAAAACAAACAAAAGCCAACTTCCATGTCATTCACTAGATCTCCATAGCGTCTGTTGTTTTTCTCCCTGTGATGTCGGGACAGGACACGAGCAAATTCCTGCGACTGGTTGAGATGTAACCCACGCACACCGTGTGTGAGCAGTCAGCGCCAACATGGCACCAGGACAGTGTTTGCTCAAAGGGAGCATCTCGATGAAGAGGAGCTGCAGTGCGGGATTGGATTATGACGGCCCGTTCTCCCGACAGGATCCGCTCGGTCTAACGACCCCAGCGCGGCCCTCGTCTGCTGGACTGAGTAGATACGGAAGATGAAAAAAGGAGGGATGTAGAAAAAAAAAAGCATTTCACTTCTTCAGCAGTTAGCGATAAAAGAGGAGAGCCGAATCAGGCTTTACGCCGATGATGGACATGCGTAAACATCCTAGTCTCTGAGATGTTCTGTGTCAGGCCAGAAGTATTCTGTCTTTGTCAGAAACAGGAGCCACCAATGTGTAACAAACTGAAAGCTGATGTGTGTATGTGCGTGTGTATGTATGTATGTATGTGTGTGTGTGTGTGTGTAGTGGGGGTGTTTTTCATGATTATGTTTAACACTATTACATCTGGTAAAATATAGATTAATATAAGAGCTCTAATAATTGGTTTTTTGATGTAACAGTGAAACACTAACTGAATTGCATCCAAACAGCTCTAACCAATCTTCATTTTTCACCTCGTCTCCTGGTTCAACCCACGCAGCTTCGCAACGACGTCTCTTGGCCGTCTGCCATAAATGTCAGTATGTGTATTTATCCCCCTTGCAAGTGTTTTATTGTGGTGATTTTGTCGAGCTGGAAGCTGAGTGGAAGAGGCTTTCTCCGCCTAAATGCTGCACAGGGATGATCCGAAAAGACAAAGGTTTTGGGCCAAAGCGGTGATGATTTTGAAACGGCACACGTGGGGAATCAGTTTGACAGGTTGTTGATGTAAGGACAGAGGAGTATCTTGAGCATTAAGACGCAGTTTTCCGAGCGGGCAGCAGGGGGCAGCAGAGGGTAGGACAGAATTGGTGGTTGGGTTTAAAGCAGGAATTGAAATCCTCTCAGAGCTTCTTAAAGAGTGATCCCCGGGGCTCTGTAACTCACCCAAAAGTATCACTCCTCTGCAGGTTGTCCATTAACCAGTTCAGCAGGGGGACAGATGGAGTGTGTTTGAGGATGTGTGAGTGTGTGTATATGTGTATGTGTTGTACAGAGTACGTGGTGCATAAAGTTTTGCATCTGCAACCACAGCATACTTGGCAATGCAGGCAGCTGTCGGCATGTTCCTGCAACAAAATGACTACAGGATTAGTTGTGTGTGCACATGACAAAATAGTACGACACATTTTCAGATTTTTGCTTGTTTTTGCGTTTAAGTTACTGTCATATACATTTTTTTTTCCTTTTTTAGGAGGCAGGTTTTCATCCTGGATTGAGTCACAGCGTGTATTCAACACAGTTTTTTTTTACCACCAAGAGCTATGAGTTTATATCTTGGCAGATTCATCACTGACTCATTCCTGAGCTTCATTTGCCTTCTGGCATCGACCAAAAACCTGAAACTGACAGTGGAGGAGGTTTATTCCTCATCCAGACTAACTTTGAGAGCACAAGTTCAACTTCCACACTTTTTTTTCTCTCTCTCTTTTTTTCGGTTAAGTTTAGCTCTCAGCTCAATAAAATGTTTAATTCATGCCAAGGTTAAGTCATAATTTGCTCTTTTACCTCGGAGCGATCCTATGTTTGTGTGTCAAATGTGCGTGTGTGTGTCCTCTGTGTTTATCATTGACATTGCTGATAAGCTTTTAGGCTGTGATTGGTTGCGTCTGATGAGCTGTCGGTGTGAGAGCAGGCAAATGAAGATAGGGTTTTGAGTCTGTACGACAACGGAGATGCCAGACAGATGGAGACAAATGGGAGGTGTCGTCTATTGTGTAGCAAACATTCACAGCCGCGCACACGCTCTTAAGCATCTCACACACACACACACACACACACATAAACACACTTGTCTCCCTGCCAGTGTGTGTTCATGGTTTGACAAGATCATTAAATAAAACATCAAAACATGTCATTTGTCATCAAGTTGTTACCTCTGTGCACAGGGCTAAGTCATACCACAGCACAAAGCAATACATACTATCCAGGAGTAGCATGCCGTGTGTTTTACACACAATCTCAGACAACAGGATTGAGAAATAAACTGCAGTGTGCAGATTGCTTGATGGTCATTTTGACAGCTGGAGTAATAGCCAATCCGGAGATGGATGACAGAAGAATTGGAGCTGTTCAACCATGATGTTATTATTGTGTTTAAGATGCTGAGGAAGAGGCAGATGGGGGTTTTGTGGGTTTGTGTATATGTGTGTGTGAGTGTGTGTCGGCTTCTCTGTCCTCTGCTCCTACTCTCTCCAGGTTGCTCTCCCATCATCACAGGGGATGCGGTTGCCGTGGCAGCACCACGTTGGCTCCACACGCTCAGTGCAGCCTCTGTTCCTTTTATTCCTGTCAGCCGACTGACTCACTCCTCCCAATAATGTATTCAAAGCAGTGTTTTTGACTGTTTGATGTTTGTTCTCTGTCCCCGTGGCTCATACTGCTGTGAATAGGCTTATAGAAAGCGGCTTTTTTTTTTTCTTCATTAGACATATTTTTGTGTCTTGGTTTGTATTGTCGGCGCCAGGTGCCATTGTGCGCTCAGTCTGTCACAGGCAGGTATGCTCAAGCTGCCGGTTGTCGTCTGTTTCGGCCGTTGTCGAGATAAATGTCATAGTAACAGTGTGGAGGTGAAAGAGGAGAGATGACAGGAATGTTAAAAAGCACGTCTTTGTACGGTTGGCCAGTGTTTGTTTCTTTCTTTGTGTACGCCGTGTTGTGGGCCGCCTGTGTTTATCGTTTGAGATGCTGGACAGTCTTGGCTTGTAAAGGAATGATTTTATACAAAAAAAAAGGTTTGAATTTCACACATGACTTAACAGATAAAAGAATGTCCGATCGTGCAGCAGACACATGTGCATGTGTGGACTGATTGCACATGATGCCCAGAAAGTTTGTGCTCATCATGACGGCCTCTGAAATGCTTTTTTGAATCAAGCTGTTGCTATAGCAACATATACATTTCTGAGTTTCTTGCCAAATTGGCACTGATTTTAATAATCCCCCTCTGTGGCAGATACTGTGGAGATGTTTTTGAATTCTTCAGCATCTCAGGCCCAGAGTCCAGTGTTTGCAGCAGCAGAAGCAGCAGAATCGTGAAGCTGCTTGCTCGCTCGCTGGCTTCCTCTCTCTCCTCTGACTCAGTTGGTTCCGTCAGAGCCGCTACGTTTGACTCATCACCTGCACTTATGTGCAGAGGTGATGTTCGCTGATCTCGGGAACAAGCACCCAGCAGGGAGGGGGGGCATCGGCTGCTGGCTTTCCCATTTCAGCTGCCATGCCCTGCCTATGACTAATGTGAGGGTTGGATGTAAGTGTTAAAAAAAAAAAAGTGTTAGCCTTTGTGTCATTATTTCTGTTCATTGCTTAGAAACACAGGGCTTTATTTCCATGGCAAGTAGGCAGTGACATTAAATAACTAAGCCTCGTTTGTCTGTCTTCTGCATAACCTGTAAATAGTTGTTTTAAAAAGAAAAAGAGGATATCTCTCAGACAGAATGCACTCTTGTTTCTCCAGCTCAAAACTTTTATTTATTTAAACAGAAATTATAAAGTTTGGGGAAAAGATATAGTGTACAAGGCTGGAGCCACCTTCGATCATAGATTCTGTGCAGGGGTAACGGCTGTACGGAGGATTAGCTAACAACAAAATGAAACGAGATGTTTTAAGATGTTAATTAACACTTGATGCAGAACTAGGCAACAAAATGGAGTTTTATATCTAAAAACACATGAAGGTTTACTAACCAATATAAAAAGAGAAAAAAAAGTTTGAAAATGTTGTGTAGAGTAATAAATTGTAACAATATTTTAAATAAAGTTATATATTGGGAAAAACTGCTTCGGTCTGCTTTTATTTACTCTGCAGGACATTAAAGGTTCAGTGTGTAGATGATTTTCAGTCATGTCTAGTCGCCAGATTCTGTATCAAAAGGCTCCTTTATTCACTCTTCCCAAGAAATCTTGTGTGCATAACAACCACTTTTTTCTTCTTTGTCCTCTTCTCTTTGCTGCTCTTCCTGCTGTTTCTTCTTCTTTCCAGAGGTACATCTCAGACAAAATCTTTAACTACAAAAACACGCCACAGAAGGGGAACCCTCTCCTTTTGTATACTATATAGAAAGCCCTTTCCAAGTCACCAAAAACAAAATGATTCTTTCATTTAGATAAATATTTAATCATGCTGATCAATATATGACTCTATTGCTACCGACTCTGTCAAGCAGAATACTGCTAAACCTTAAAATGTCCCATATATTGAAAGTTTAAGATGTGTACAATATATCCCAGTTGTCTTTTAAGCAAAAACATCTCAGATTCAGGCTCTGGGGAAGATCTAAAGCCTCTCAGAAGTGAATTGAGTGGGCGTTTATGCTCTGATAATGAGACGCTGCTCTGGTTCACTGCCTGAATGATGTTTAAAGGGGAAGATGTGGACTGGTGCAAAAGGACGTAGAGGCGGAAAAACACCAAAACAAACAGTAGCTGCGTTTACATGAGCACAAATAGTCGGAATAAATGCTCGATCAGAATAAAAACGCGCCATGTAAACATGTCAATCAGAAGATTCTGATCCAATTCGGCTCAATCAGAAAGAAACTGTG